TTTTGTTGTGAAGTTCCGTAGCATTCTAGTTGGTTTCAACGTAAGGTTTGGTTTGGTTTGGTTTTATTTTGTTTAAATGCGTGTTGTGTAAGCGTGCATGTGTGTTTGTGTGCTGGAGACAGGGTTTGTTGGTATACTTGCCTCCTTGTGATACCCCGGATCTGATGCCGACTTTATAGTGCTATCTCACTGAAATATCCTGCCGAATCATTATGCTGAACGTTAAGCAAGTAATAACAACTACAATTGTTAGGACTTTGGTATGCCCCGGCCTGGGCACAGAACCCAATTTCTCACAAACTTCACAGGGTGATCCCGTTGTTGCTAGGGAAAAGATTAATAGAATCCATCCCTGATGTGAGGTATGGATAAGGTAATTCAAACCCTCGGGATAAAATATTGAGCAGGAGACCGAGGCCTATTGACGTCATGCAAATGAGAAATGCGCGAACAGTTTCAATCTTTACTAGAAGAGCAGCTGTTTTACGGGTTTTAGGAAATAAGCAAGAAATAGAATCCATTCTTTATGTGAGGTAAGGATAAGACAATTCAAACCCTTGGGATAAAATATTGAGCAAAAGACCCTCGGGTCTCCTGCTCAATATGTTATCCCTTGGGTTTGAACTACCTTATCCATTCTTCACATCAGGGATGGATTCTATTAATCTTGCACCCCATTTCACGTGACGTGACGTCGCAATGGCTCAACAATGACGTGACGTCACGAATTTGGAAAACTCCGATGCCACAATGCGGAAAAGGCGACGTGATGAAATTTAAACATTTTACAATATATTTACCGAACACATTAGAAAGATGAGATTATTTTTTCTGCACAAACTAAGTTTGCAAATATGGAGTAAGCTTAATCTGGCTGACTGATCCGTTTTCGTCTAAAAAGCTCAGGGGTGATTGATATTTTCAAAATGGTAGCCAGTCGAAACGCATTTTAATGGTTTCTGAGCTTATCTGGTGGTTGGAAGAAGAAAAAAATGCTCTCGGCACAGCCTCGAGTTTTACCAAATTTGAAACCCCTCGGGTGGAATTTCCCTATCCTACACACCTGGGCGAACGTTCAACATTAAAGCCGAAAGTACGTGCTCATCTAATTATAACATAGCCACCGTGGTGTCATCTGATCACCTAACATAACTTTCGTATTTTCCTATATACAGGTAAGGTGCTAGGATAAATATGGTGTCATTTATAAAACAACAGAATTTAATTACAAGTAAACTATTGTCTATATTATAAGGTGTCTTACCATATATTGTTGTTAAACTTTGTTTGTTTATGTGTTTTTATTCATGTTACACACTTAATATTTATATAATACACGTCATCGAAATATTAGTGTTTATTTTCCATTTGATAATATAGCATACATGTCAGGATTCTTTGAGACCGATCTGTGAGTTTTACTTTAATTTTAAGGGAATTTGGGTCAAAATAAAGGAGGTTTTATTCGTAGTGTATTTCACGTAAAAAATAAACCAAAAAGGATTTTTTATGCTGACTTGTAAATTGCACAAACTTTACAAAACAAAATGTCACATGGTTGAGACAGAATGGGAAGAGATTTACTTTACTATTTCACAGAATTTGCTTTCAGAGGTTAAAAGTCTTAGCGGTCACAAGTTCTACTGATGTTAAATTCGATACACATTATTCCAACTTTGAAGAGTGAATTTTGGTTAGTTAGGATATAGCAGTTTTCCATGTATTGAATTACGTTTGAAACTGTTGGGCAATGTAATAGAATCTGGAAACATGGACTAAAATGATCAGCATTACAATTTCTAATTTTTAGATCTCCTTTCATGCACAGCTGGAAATTAGCATTGAACAAGTATCCAGTATACATGTTCATTTTATCTGCTTCTAATAGAGAATTGGTAACCAGCATTTAGAAGGAAACGTTCACCTCAGCCCCTTTCTAGAACAAGTCAATATGTATTTGTGTGTTAGTCATACCGATATGGGAGTAATAATAAAGTATCTGTCAAAAGATACTTTTAGGTTAACACTTTAAAATTAAATCAAACAAATCAAAAACCATATTCGAAGTCATTTTGAGATCACAACAATCACATTAAAACAAAAACTGTGATTCCATTGATCAAGTTTAAATTATTAATAATTGAAACCTGGTTTTAAATGTAACATTTCGGGTATTAGTGGGCAAATGTTTATGGAGGCCTTATAAGGCTTTGCCCAAGGCTCGCCTGTTCAGACAATGCTTTACAGATTGTTTAATGACAGACTTGAATAGTAATCTATATGCCTTTGTTAAAATGATAACTGACATTAAGGTTAGTTAACAGTGTTTTCCTTCTGATCCACAATAATTTACGACTGTAATAACATGCAGGTACAATGCATTTTTAACTGTGAAGATTTGTAAAAAATGTACTATTTTGACTTCTGATCAATAATGAAAAATGAAAGTATGCTTTTTACTTCTTGTGTACATCTACGATGCATTACCACAATACTATATTTCTTTACAAAGATAATGGAATATTTATTTGATTAAAGTATGTGGCAGAGACGATATTTGTGATATCTATATTTATGTCTATATATAATATTATCCGCCTGAAGAAGCCCTAGAAGGCAGAAAGGCCTAGCGGACGATCTGAAAAATTTATGTTTTTATTCTATAATATTACCGTATATACATATATGTTCTGATATAGTAATATTTCTCAATAATAATATCTATTACTGCGAACTAGACATCCATGTTAGGCGAAACTTGGGCCGTTTTCGTTTATCGCGGTCCGAACGGTTTGACCAGAGTTGTTGAAATAAGGTCGGATCTAGTATTCTGGTGCTGCTTTAAGGCGAGCCTTGACACAGCCTTACACGGCATGCATAAACATTTTCAGGTCCGCTAGTATTAATACCCGAAATGTTACATTTAAAACAGACAACCTGTTTGTTCCACATAAACGTATGCTAGACGAGACTAAACCATCTGACTGACACATTCATGGGTGTATGCCAAAGGAGATGCTCACAGTCCACTTTTATGCCAGAGTATTTCCCGTGCATCATTTGCGACTCGAGTGGTAGGTTGGGGGACTTATGAAACGGTCCCCGTTACATTCAAAACTTTATTAGTAATTCCATTGTTATATCATATCTTTACCGTCAGAACTAAAAAATCTTCAATCTTTTCAAAGCTTCCGTCAAATCTTCTCTGTTGATTGAACATGTTGTTGCTTTCATGTGTTTCCGCTCTGTCTATGGTGTCAGTTTTCTGTTTTAGCCTATCTCTATTTAGAACATCTATGAAGTGATCTCTCCCTCTTTTGTAGCACAGTGATGAAGAAATTTAGCCTGTTAATACATGTAGTAGTGGTAGAGCACGGTTATAATATAACCACTTACATCTTTTAGCAAAGCTAGTCCAAAGGACTTCTTTTTGGAGGGGGTGGGTGGGTGATTTTGTTCACATACATGACCTACACTTATGATTACATTTAAGGTCAAAGGAATCAAATATTAGTGGAAACATATTAATGCCTTTTCATGAACAATACAGCCAAGGGTGAAAATAGTTGTTAAGTAGCATTCTGGGAACGTGGAAAGATGTCTATCTAGTTTGTTCAAAATATGACCAAATTTGATAGATATGCAATTATATTTATAAAATATATAAGCTTCCTTTAATCTACTTCAATTATGAAACAAGTTATCTCAACTAATATTAATCGCTCTTGCTAGCCCGGATGTAAGTGAACAGGGGGGTCTTAATGTGGGAGGAAACTGGAGCAGGAAGGTGATCCCATATACCTTTTCACCCTGAATCCCCTAGGGGAATCAAACCCTGCCTTGACGAAAAGCGAGTGTGTTATCCAGTACATCACCCAACCACACTAACAGTTACAGTATATATCCTGCGAAATACACTGAACGATCAGGTTGTAGTTTGCTAATATGAAGTAACTACTTATGCCTAAATTCTGTCCATCTTCTGACACGGTTTCTGTTTGCCCAAGATGTCTGCAGATGCATCGACTGACCAAGTGCCCTTGAAATGAGGGCCCGTATTCATGAAACTATTTCCATGTTCAAGCATGAATTCTGTATTCAAACAAAAGTTCTTGTTTTTCATTTAAATCAGTTAAATTAACATGGTCGAAATGTCAAGCGTAAACTTTGAAAATAGTTTCCGGCTTTCTGTTTTTTCAAAATACTTCAAAATTATTGATAAAGTTTTTTCATTTATTAATTGATTGGTGGATCAAGAAATTGGGCTTCAGCACAGAATCCGAGTTTGAGCATGAGAATGGTTTTTGGAATACGGGTCCTGGTCATATGCATTAATCAATCTGGTTTTAGTTAATACTTATTGTTTACAATATTTATCCAACAACTACCTCATGCCTGGTAATAAGCCCACCCAAATATATTACAGATCAATAGAAATTCCTGCAAGTGATATTCTATTTTTCTATAATGAGCCATTAACTGTCTATTTTGAGTCAGAACTTATGTTGTGTTTAGCTGTGGTTATCAAAGCTAATCAGCTTTGAACCCTGGGACCAAATTTTCTTACCACAGTACTTTTTTAGGAATTAAATACATGGTTGTTTTTCCTTTGAGAATTTTCTTGAATACAATCATTTCATTGAATTTCTTTTTACAGAATGTAGAACTATACCTCACAATAAACTTGCTATTCATATTCAATACCAACAATGATAAGCATCACTGGGTACATATCATAAAAAGATGTTGTTGAATATCTACTAAAAGACAGTGTTGAATACCTACTGTACAAAAGGAGACTTTTGCCCTGTCAAACTTTCACCCTTCATAGATATAAGAAATATTCGCTCAGTGTTAATTTTGCCTAACACATGTAATGAATGTAAATGATATATGAGTATGCCCTCGTTACGGAGGCGAAAGATAAATGTCTGAACATTTTCTATTGTACAGTATGTAATTTTGAATGAACTTATGAACATACAACTTTGACAACATCGGAGCATGTACATAATTTATTATAGGTGACATATAGCGATGATGGGAGGGCTGATATTTTCTATCATAGAGATTCATAGCATAACCCTCAATAAATACAACAAAGAAAACAGGGCACAATCACTACACCAAACAATCCTGGTGTAGAACAAATCTAGCACAGCCCTGGAAATATTACATTATTACACTAAAGTATCGTAGTCCTTGTATCAGTCACTGGTAAGTAGTCCTTGGGTGGGTCATATTGACATCTGTCTATTTTCAGGCCCCACCTGTACATGCACTACAGCCACAGGATGTTGGCACTGTGTACATTTTGGGGAATGTTGTGCCGTCTGTGCAGTGAAGGGTGACATTATGTGCGACAGTGTTCTGAGGTTGACAACAGTTACAGTTGTTGTCAAAGCCACGCATCAGTGTAGTGTATTTCGCGCGAGATTGACAGTAACCAGAACACTCTGTGAGATCTTGAATCGGTTCCGTATTCTGACAGATGACATTGTTCCTCGTGACCTTGAAAAATCCTACAGTGGCAGCTGGTTGACCGAACATTAGATGTGGCGAACACTCTGAACAAGTCTGGCTTGCAGTTGCTATGACAAAAAAACGAGGTAAACAGATTTAATGCACTACTTCTCAAGACATTCTGAGAGAAATTGTATAATGATTTAAACATGAGTCTTTATTTTTATTAAAAAAAAAAGATTAATTTCATATATACTGGGTATGCTACTATTTTTGGTTATAAATAAGGGTTTAATGCAGATGTTACACGCCTGCAGGGAGGCCTTGATTGAAGTGTTAAAAAGGACATCACGAAATATCTCCCGAGTTTCATTACAACATATTTGTACCAACTATTGCTGAAATGAAATGCCTATGGAAGGTTGAAATAAAATAACTGGACATTGAGTTGTACAACTTACCTCTGACTACACAAGTCTTACAGCATCCAGTGCTGTCATACTCTGTCTGGTTCTGAAAAAAAATCAATCATTTAGTCAAGAGACAATTTCATTATTTTGTCAGGAAGGCCCATTCTTGAAAATAAAGTGAAAGATTTTTTCAATCATAAAATTTAACAGATTCCACTATTAATTCCTAGTTTTAAACAGTTATTAGTGTTTTACAGGAGTACCCCAGGGATTGAAACATTACACACTTGTCACTGTCCCATTTGATACACACTTGATTCTGTATACACAATTAATGCTGATACATAATTATTCAATAGCCATGTACACTTGTCAATAGTCCGATAGTCTAACTTAACTGTTTCAGAGTGCTCCTATTTTTTACATACTCATTTCTGTGAACTGATCTTTCTGTACCTATTCTGAGGGTAAGTTATGTATCACTACATAGGTGTCTCAGTTTTCAGTTTTAATATAGATGAAAATATCATTTTATTCAAAATGAATCTGAAATGTGTCATTTTGCAACTAGCTTGGTACAACATCCAAACTTTGAAATATACTTTTCCAAATGTAAGGAGCTTACCCCTTTGCATGTTGGTAGGTTGTCAGTGCGACAATCAAGCTGTGTTTCCCGTATGAGATAGCTGGTACTGCTCACATCAAAGTCACACACTTTGGAGTAACATCGCTGAGCTCCGGGTAGGGATTGACCATCCTGAAACATATATGTTTTTATTTTATATTTGATGAAACCATAATCTGAATTTCAACTTCCAAGAACTATATATTTAATAATGTAAAAAAATAAATTTAGAAGGCAATGTTTCTTTTAGTTGAATATGATATAAATTTCTTATCGGTGCAACCCTTTTGAAGTAAAGTGACAAACAATACTTGGTGAAACTTTTTTCAGATACAGTAAAACTATGCCATACTGCCAAGAAATGTCCATGGAAATGTTTTGCATCTTAAACGGTTTAGAGACACATGATGAAATAAGCACAGAGGAATTGTATCTCTTACCTTGAAGACTTGACCATTGGCCACGCAGCCAACAGACCTACACTGACCACAGCACTGGTCAGTAGCATTAACTCGCTCCTCTCCCTGTGTAACAAATATAAAATGCATAATTCTGGGCTTAACCTTTAATGAACATCATCAACATCACATAACACATATGAAAACAGGCTTATGCACAAAATTAGATTTATTGATCTTTCTACGTAAGTTTTGAGCTTACATTAACATATGTACACTAAATTCTTTAAAAAAATCTTGAAATCAGAAGAAAAAGCTGAAATTATAATACTATAAAAGTGTGGAATTTTCATGCATGGAAATGTTCATGTTATAACTCTTTAAACAGATTGTAGTGTGGACATTTTTGTGTGGTTCAGAAATCTTTATTAATCATTGACCACGACTTTACTCACCAGTTTACAGTCGGGACATGTCTCGCTGTGACACACCGTCTCACTGCTTCCATCAGCCTTATCAAGTGTACACTGGCATGTTTTACACATTCCATCTTTCCAGGTCTCGCCAACCTGAACGGACATAATCAGTTACCATTTTATGACTACACATGTACAGTACATTTATGTTACAAGTTACATACATATTACATTACCATCTTCAATCACTTAACCTTTACAATGATTTACATCAGAGATCCTGCTGAGGTGTTTGCAAGGATTTGAACTAAATAGGTATGGTAGTTCAGCTATAGATTACTAGGTGCAGGTCGGGTTTACTTGGCCCCTTAAAAACTGCATCCCTGGCCCATATTAACTGGTACCCTTGACCATTATAATTTGTGACAGCAGGTCCAAAGCAACACAAAACTAATCTCTAGTTACTTGAGTATAGTGCACACTTATAATTACTGATGTAGGTTTAGATCCAAGTTGTTGATAATCTAACAAGAACAGTATTAATATGACGGGACACAGGACCCGTGAAAATTAGTCATTAGTTTGAGTGAGGGTTTGTGGCACTGTGAATTGAGCAAGAGAGAGAAGGCCCTGCTACCAAACAGTAAAGGGAGGTAACCTCTGGTCAGTGAGGCTTGTGTAGCTTACCTGGTGTGTGACTGGGTATGGTGCAGGGTTAGGTACCGCAGTGGCGTTGACAAAACCTGAGGTGTAGCGACAGACACTGGGCTGTGGAGTGGGAGTAGGTTTAGGTACTGTAAAATAGATGAATAAGATGAGGAAACCATGACGATGGTGAAACAGGTGTTAAAATTCATTGGATCTGTGTCAAAGCCTACACAATACAATCTGCAAGAAATACATCTATTAAACTAAATACAGTAAAACTTGTCAAAATCGTCCATTTAAAAATAATGAAACCTACATAATCAAGCCTTTTGACTACTTGCAGATCAAACTGTATATATATGTGTGTTTCTATGCAAGTTAATCTGACATGTGAAACTGAAAACTTGTCAATTTCAAAAGAAAGCTTTGTACTGAATTTCTTTGTACCTGATGACATAACACATTATATATTTTTCCTTCTTATTCTTAACCCAGAATAAGTATTACAATTGACACACACACAGCTGTACAAGATTACAATGGAAGGTTTAAATTTCCTAGAGAGGTCGACAACTTACCACAGGCATACATGGAACAGTTACAGTCGGTGTCCACCATTGTGACGATTGAACCTGGACGACATGATGGGCGTACGGGGGTAGGACAGGTGGTTGGGCAATCTGTGAAAAAAAAGGATACATTGATAGAGGAAGGGGGTGATGTTATGGGAGGAACTAAGATTATAGCAAACTGACAACATTTTTACTTATCTAGTTAAGAGAAAGCAAGCTGTTTGTTTTAATGAAAAAAAAAAAAAAAAAGGTTTTATAAGAGGTATTTTGTTTTCAGAAAATCAATAAGAATATTTTTGAAAGTATTCATGGCAAAAGGTCAATATTTTCATGATTAGATCTTATCTGGATTTTGAAATACCTGGGACCTTAAGTGATAAGAGCAGCTAAAATTCTGTGGTACATTTAAAGATCAGCAGCTCATATCCTGAAGTAACTGACCCTGCTTGAATCCAAAGGTAAGCCGAGTAGCTCAAACCTGAGATAGGCTGAGCAACACAAATCCAATGCTGGTTTTGTAACAGAGTTCTGAGGCAATAATACAGTAAACCCACATTATAATTTCATCCTTTTGTCCTGAGAGAATTTGGCACTATAAGGGGGTTTGGCAATAGTTGAGGAAAATTTATAAGAGGATTTTTAAGAAAATGAGAAGAGACATTGAAATATGATGGCGGTAAACAAGATGGCAAATAGAATGAGGGGCAATACATTGAGGTTTTACTGTACAAAAATCTAAAATCTTGGAAGTCATATTTGCAGGTCAAAATAAATACAGTTCTAATCATATCAGTATATCATCTGTCCTGGTGTTTTTTTGTTAACTTACCACATCTGAAATGGAGACAACACTCGCCAGGATTGATGGCGGCCATGACGTGGGGCGTGGTACAAGTAACCTGGGAGGTGCTACAGTGGTCAGGCTTGCACACTGCCTGGTAACGATCACAACAACCATCCTCTGTTTTCACTATCTGGGCTACCTCACCTTCTTGAAGGAATGGTCGTACTAATGGCTGGCAAGCAGATGTGCTGCAGTGGTCTGTAACACAAAAATAAAGGTAAGATTATATAAATGGTAGGCAAACATCATGGCTGCATTAGTCTGTAATACAAAATATAAGAATTATTATTTGATGATTTTTTTTTTGAAATAGTATATGTTCTAAAAGAATGAAATTCAAAACTGAAGATTTATGTACAATGTACAAGAATTCAAAATGATCATCTCATGGTGATAAACACATAAAAAATATGTAAAATTTGAGATATTTTTCAAAAATCACACATTAAAATTAGTGTTAACTCCTCTTTAAAATAATCAAGACATTGAACAGCCAGAACCAACCTATTGTCAAATGGCTGATAAAGTCAACAAGTTCTTAGCTCATTCACACCTGAGATTTCATAATGAACTATTCCAACCTTTGAATTGGAAGAGTTCATGTGCATCTTCGGGGGTAAATGAGTTAATACAAATGTTCAAATTTGTAAATAATGTTACTGAAAAATAACTAAGATTTTGTCTTTATTGCTTTTGGACGATTTTGAGTTTTATCCCTGTCAGGAATGAGCAAGACAAGACTTTGCATGTTGTTTTAACAGAATTATCATCAGAAGCATTGTCGACGCTGTTCTCACCTGAAGTTGGTATGGCAGTAAGGGCTGGAGTTGGATTTGGTGTCACAGCTGAAAGACATAATATTAGTTGTAATCTTTTTCATAGGAAGTAGAAAGGATCAGAAGAATTCTACACCATAGGTTTGAAGATTCTCAAAGAAATATTGAAAATTAGCAGCTTTAAAGAAAGAAAAATTAAAGAACCAAAATTTAATATAATTTGCATGGTATTGAATACTCAGTTTATTTGTTGTATGCCATTTTGTTAAATAATAATTGCGGGCACATATTGACAAGGAACAGATGTTTCACAAAATATTACTTGTAGTTTAGATTTTTTGCACTATGGTTTATAGTGTAAAATTTAGATGTTCTTGTAAATTATGCCAACATTTTAAAAGAAATCATGAATCAGGGAATTTTTAAACAGTACTTACCCGTTGAACACTGGCAGTGATATCTGATCTTGTAGTTTGTACATTGTATAGGGAAATTATCGATATCCTGGCACGACAGACCAATATCAGTGGTACACTGAATTATCTCCCCTGTTGAGTAGGACGGAACATTCATGTCGATCGAGAAGCATTCAATTCGGTCGAGTGTTCCACCAGCACAGGCTCCTGTGTGTTTCTGGTATAGAGCGGCTGAGGGTTCAATGTCTCCATCACTTGTCCTGTTGTTCTCGTTGTACCAAGATAACCATCCACTAACACAGTCTGAAAGGATAAAAGACAAACAAAAACTACTCATGTAGCTTACAAAATCTTAAAAATCAGAAATGCAGAATTTCCCGCACTTTTTATATGTAGTGAAACTGTATGGGCTGGATCGATTGTCGGCGACCAGGTATCTCCTATTGCAAAGCATCTGTCTAGAGTTTTTAGGATCACATGTTCGAACCCTGGTTTGGCCATGCATTTGTTCTGTCTCGTTACATACAGTGTATATATATAGAGTGGATTACTGTTATTCAGCTAAACTTCATTACCAGCTAAAAGTGATTTTTTTATGTTATTTGATTACTGAAATATTTCTGTATAGAAAACAAGAAAACTGTTCCCCCGAACTTAATGCCTGGATTACTGGAACAATTCTCTATATCACAATTATCACTTTGACTCAAACTTTACACTGTTACAACCATTCTTATAGGAGACCAACACAATACTAGATACACAAGTACTGACACTGTCATCCCCTTTTTTTCTTCCAGAAATTTAGAATATATCTTTGAAAATATCCCCACATGAATTTGTAAATCATGAATTAAGATATCTAGTGAATACTGTACACAGGAATTTTTTTTCTGCAATTTTACCGGTAATGTTTCGGCTTTTTTCGCCCACTGTATTATATTAAATGAGGGGGAATTTATCATTACAGCACACATTAAATAAACAACATATCATACACAGTAACTAAATGTGAAGGGTGAAATTCATACTGGGCAAATATGTGTTTTTCTGACAAAGGGTTAAAATGTTTGTATGGGCAAAAAATTTCCAGTATACAGAATTTGTTCAGGCTTTTTCAAAACATATTCATTGTATATGTAGTGTAAAAACTCTACATTAAGCCCCATTTCATTCACCACCTTGCTTCATATTAATACATGTACCAATATATTTCCCTTATTTTTTACCAATTTCTTTATACATAGCTCTTTCCAAATACTGCGCTTCATGGTATAAAAGATATCTTGTAGATCATTTGCAAAGATATTGAAGAGAATTACAGCTCCTGCCCTGGTCATTTACTTACTAGATGTACTTGGAGTAGAGTACATGTCATGACCTGGGATTGGCTTTGTTGGAATTCCTGGGGCGCGGGTAGGTGTGACCTTGTTAACATCTGGTCCAACTGTGGGGGTTCCCAGTGAACCTCCAGGGGGAGCAGCACTGGGTGTGACTGGGGGGGTGAACAAGGGCACGACAACTGAAAATAGAAACATTACACGGTATAATATGAATACTGATCAAGTTTTATCAGAAACCAGTCCTTTTTGATGAAGTTATTGTGCAGAGACTATTGACAAATTAGAGCATAGTATACAAACTAGTTACGAAAAGATTTTACGGTTTGTTTTCAAAAAATGTGTTTCCTCCTTTTTAACATCAGAATAAGGAGTTAACATAATGAGTCTATTGAATTGTATTGTGTTAGGCCAATCCACTTAACTCTTGAATGTTTGCTCGGACAAAAGGATTAATTGAAGGATGCTCCGAATACTGCAAAAAGCTAAATACAATTAATGTAGATTAAATTAGCAGAGTCAGATATCTATGATTTTTCAAAATTCTACGTACCGCATGACAGCTCGTCATCGATACAGTCAATGACTCCATCACACTTGGCAACGGCGGGGATACACTGACCGTTTCCACAGCGGAACTCACTGGCATCACATGTGACACAAGAACATTCACAGGTGGAGACGTTGAAACCTTTGGTGTAGCCCTGTTAACAAACATTTCCTATTTAACCACTGGTGATACCTCTGTCTCTGTAATTTCGATGATATTTTTAATTCCGATGGGGTGTGAACTTATTCTCTGGTATTCTTAAATTTAACAAAAAATAGCTTGATGGTCATTTTCAGATGTTCCCTTCTCCCCTTTTTCCCCATTTTAATCATTTGATTTCCTAGTCGATGGTTCATCTCATGGGTTTAATATTTATATAAACATGCATGCAGGAGGTTTCTCATCTAACATGCTCCTTTTGTTTCATTCATTCATGCTCTATTTGTTCTTGATAACTAGCACATTTATATTTCTTTTATAATAGTAAATTATATATAAATAATATATATAAATATATTTTTACATTTTAATAAAGTCAAACCAGCTCTACAACCAATCACCTTTGTAGTGATTTCTTTGTAAAACTGAAACCATTTGTCTAACTTCCAATGTGTGTTTTCTATACACATTTGACTGTTTATAAAAATCACTGAGCTACATATGGATACTGTTACCTATATTTATACTGACCATGTCTACCTGTTTACGTAGCCAGATGTTTCTACGAGAGTACTTACGTCCATACATAGAGGACACTGTTTGGGCAGACAGGACACTTGTCCAGCGAAACACTGGCATGTCTCACACTGGGAATTCTCCATCATGTCACCAGGCTAAGATGAAAAACAGCCAATATTGTAAAATAAAGGTAATTTATTTCCACTTAATACATTCCATGTTATATCTTATCTTTTTGTGGAGCAGTGTATTCAAAAGAGTTCTTATTGATTTTTCCGGTTAGTTATTATACTTATGAACTTTATTTATTTTACAACAATTATGAAATAAGTCAGTTCAAATTATAATAATCACTCTTGTTGGCCCGGATGTTTTCGGTTGACGCCTTAACAGACAAAACCAATGGAACAGTTTGTAAAAAGCAAAATGACAATTCACAGCTTTGATTTTGCAGTGTTATTTTGTTGATTTATTTGTGCAGTATTAAATATGTGTGCTATTAAATTTTTGAAGTTTTAATTTTGTGCAATATTAAACTGGCAATTTTGAAACTATAGGTTTACAGATTAACTGTCCTGAAAAGACCGGGTATCGACAGTGGTGTTGAATTTGCTGATTCAGCATATTGTGGAAACGGCAAATATAACACTAATTTGCAAAAATTACCACGCATGAATTCTATATCTAAAGGTTTCAAGTATGTTCAATCAAATCAATGATAGTTCCATACAAGCTGAAAACTGTTAATTTATAGTTATACATCAGCACCAATACATGGAAGTAAAGACATTTACCCGAACAAGTTTGCCCTCGATGAGACAGGTACATTCCGATTTCCTCACACAGGTCATGCCATCACAGACGAGACCTGGGGCACATCCATTCACTGGACAGCGTGATGTATCAATACCTTCAAAGCACACAGATCCGTTGTATTTGTTAGTGACGAAAACAGTAGATCCCATCATCGGGGCCATAGACGGGGTTGGACGTGGGATGGGTGGCACTGAAAATTGAAAAAATTAAAAATTAGTAATCCAGACTACTATTATGGAGCTTTGTTTCCTAAAATCAGGAATACACACACATTTGTTTGTAATTCTGGTAAGGGTAGGTTTGTTGGCAATTTCTGTTTCAGAAATTCTCTGAATATTGACTCATTTATAAACAGCTACAATATTGGCTCACTTTTGAATGGCTATAATATTCATTATAAAGCTGTCATTTTTAATAAGACTCACTCATCCAGATATAATATGGTGGCCATTTATGTTGAATTGCAACTACTAGAAAACCTGCAAGTACCAAAATTTAGGCTTCAAACTCACTCAGGTTCTGAATTTAAGTGCCTAAATACAGTTTATGGGACAAACAATGCTTAATACACTGTACCAATATCCAATATTTGCATCAACATTTTTTGTTGTTGTACATTTTGAAGTATCACATACAATTCATTTAAATAAACTGCCAAATAACTTGAGCTATGGACGTGTTCTATGGGAACCTCCACTCCAAGTAAACCTGTACTCAGATACCTTTAAAATAACTCCAAAAGGAATTTAAAGTGGTCTCTTAACACAGATGGTCTCCTAATAAGGTTCAATTGTACCTACCTTTTAACAACAGTACTTACCACACTCGGGACTGTTGCGCAGACACCCAAGTCTGACCTTGTAGTCGAAACAACCATGACTGTCTGCCTGGTCAGCGTTGTTGCAAACCAATCCCTGCCACAGATTACAGCTGACCACTTGACCGGTCTCGTTGTATGCCACTCCAGTGGCCGTGCGGCACTCAATCTTCATTGGACTGTGACAATTCTGTGAAGCGGCCTTCACTTTTTCAATCCTCTCGAAATCTCCACCACTGAGTGGAGTGGGTTGGCCTATATTTACCCAAGCATCGTAATCTACACAGCTTTCATCTGGAACACCAGGCAACAAGAGAAGCTAAATAAATGAGGTTTTCACGTCCCACCGCACGCACCCATCCATTTGCTGGTTATTTCCCCATATTTTTTTTAAATATCATAATAGTGTGAACCTTGTTATCTAGACTTGTTTGTTATGTTAAATTTCCAGACAACCATGTACATGTAGATGCCCCTTTCTGGTTCCATAACCTAACCTAATCTTAATTCTAAAATATATGTCTCCCTTGAAGTTTTACAACTGGTACCTGGTAAATCTAAATTGAGGTTGAAGGGACATCACTAACATTACTGAGGTATAACTTGACTCACTAAACTTACCAACAGCTTTGGTAGGAAGAGGGGTAGGTATCTTTCCTGGAGTGCCTGCAGTTGTCACTGTAAGAAAGTTGATAAATCATATCAGATATGGAATAATTTTATCTTCAGTAAGATTCATCAGTTTGGAAATATGTAATATCAAAGTATATCATTTTGATTGCAGATTAAAAAATAAATTATTCCATATCCAAGTTTTACCTTCTTCACAAACAATGTACATATTAAACCTGTCACAATGTTGGAAGACCAACTGGTCCCTTTGTCAAGCTATCATAGACGTTGTTACAAGTTTGATATGTGCATTGTTTGTGCATAAAGTAAAATTTTGATATGAAATAATTTTATTCATGGCATCTTTAAATTTCCAATAAAAATGGTTTGCTTTGAGCTACAAATGGTAACTATAAAAGAATACTTGCTTGTTCCCTAACATCCATACTGTTACATCATTATACATGTATACAGTCCGTTAAGTTGAACCAAGAATTTTCTGTAATAAAGTTGCTGACAAACATATCTTCACAGATACGTAACATACTATGTGGAATGCATTCATTGATGTTATTACCAGAGATTTATGAGAATACCAGTGTGAATTTGAATCCTGAACTATACAGTGGAACTTGAATGGGTGTATAACTGGCAACCATGGCCAGCTGATAGAGCACTTGTCTAGAAATCTTAGAGTCCAGATTTAAATCATGGTTTGCCATTTTACCTCCAAAAGAATTGAATGAAGAAAAGGACTTACTTGGGTAAGAGACAAAACAGCCGTGGATTTCAAACCTCATCGTAACCTTTCCATGGTAGCTCTGTGGATTTATCCTGATGTAGCGAGCTCGGATCGGGTTGGAGAAGAAGTGTGTAATGGGAGTGACAGAGTCGAAGTTACCGTTGAACAACTGCAAATCAATGTGACACAGTTATTTAGCAAAAAACATTCCATTTGAACAGCAGACAAGCTTTTATAAAAAAGAAACAAAAAACTTGAATAGTCTCCTGTGTTTTAATGAAACAAATCCTTATGATCATATCTCAGCATAATAAACTGAATCTACAAATACATTTCCTTTAAATTGCAAATTAACTGGTTAACATTTCCATGGGTGTTTAGACCTGTAAGGCTAAAATGCTGACTTTGGAGGATCACCAGAAATCAAGAGCTTTTGTTACCTTTGACATTAATCTGCATGTAAATCTACAAAGTCGGTTTCTATATTTTTAGAAAAGAACAAATGTGTTGGGACGTGATAAACAAAGACATAATAAATGAAGACAGCTTTTGTTACCTTCTCTGCTCCATCCTCTCTGTACGTGTTCCAGTTGAGGCCGTCTGTTGAGTAACGCACGTAGTATGACGTCACATAGGACGGTATATTAGGGCGGCCCTGGGTGGTTAACCCGGAGATCAGGGATGACTGTAGGAAGTCAACCTGTTGAAACAAACTATCTTTAGTAACTAGATGTAACTAGTGCTACATAAACGAGACTTATTAATGAAGTCACCAATTTTATATTGAATTCCGATACAATTTTTTCTACATGAAAGGATAAAATCTTTTAAGAATCAAATAAGTTAATAAAACATTTTTAAAGGTAGAGTTTTCTCCCTTATATGAATACAACATGAGTAGAAAAATGCACTACCTAACATTTACAGCTGTCTGTGCTCACATGAATTGGGAATATAGCAGCATTTTTAACCCTTTCACCACTGTAAACCATAATGGACTCATCCTTAATTTTTTTTGGTAGAGTCTATGAAAGTAACCTAGGGGTGAAAGGGTGGATGAAACTGGAAGGATATCTAAAAAAACAAGTTTTTAAGAAAAGAAAGCTCAATTTTGCTGAGGGAAGCAGCCTGTTATTATTAACTGACATGTAAAACCTAGTCTAAAAAATACTGCTGAGATAGACGGCTGCTATGATTATCTGATTTACCTAGTTACACGGGCTGCAACGATATATCGTCATATTTTGAATACGTATGATGCACAATATTTTTTGAGAGGTTAAAATACACTTCCAATATTTTTAAAATTTGGTCATTTCTGAATTTTGTCTACTCATATCGGTTCCAACACGGCGAGTGGCAGCTCCAGCTTGGCATGCACATCGAACGGCGTTAATTGTGTGAATCTTTAAAGTCATGCCCATTTTGGACCAGGTCTATTTCCAGTTGTAATATTGCCATTAACATTTGCAACACGTCTTTTCTCTGTGTTTCTTTTGTTACTTTATTTATTGTGATACATATTGTATCATGACCACAGTATCATGATATGAATCATATCATCATCTAAATGTACCGTTGCAGCCCTACTAGTTACAGGAGACAGAAACAGTCTAGTTTCACGAAGACCTAACGATAAATCACCTGTACAAATTGGTTCTTGTTATCAATGGCTGCAGTCCATGCTGTGGGTCCTCCAAGACGAGCCTTGTATGGGGCGGAGTTAGCATCACGCGAGGATGAGGCTGTAATCATGTCATCACGGATCTGGTGGTTCTGCATTCCCATCTGTTCCTTACAGGCAGCTGTGGAAAGTTACATCAACTTTACTAGGTTTCTAATAATTATTGAGTATTAAATCTCAAAGTAGGATCATTTTCAATACAAATAGACGCTGAAATTGTTTTGATAATTCAATAACAAAAATGAAATTCTTGATAGCTAGGATAGTGGGTATCACTAGGTATTCTCAGTGGGTATCACTAGGTATTCTCAGTGGGTATCACTACGTAATCTCAGTGGGTATCACTAGGTATTCTCAGTGGGTATCACTAGGTCTTCTCAGTGGGTATCCATAGGTATTCTCAGTGCGTATCACTACGTAATCTCAGCGGGTATCACTAGGTACTCTCAGTGGGTATCACTGAGAATACCTATTGATACACTCTGAGAATACCTAGTGGTATCCACTGAGAATACCTATTGATACACTCTGAGAATACCTAGTGACACCCCACTGAGAATACCAAGTGATACCCACTGAGCATACCTAGTGATACCAACTGAGAATACTTAGTGATACCCACTGAGGATACCTAGTGATACCAACTGAGAATACTTAGTGATACACACTGAGAATAACTAGTGATACCCACTCAGGATACCTGGTGATACCCACTGAGAGTACCTAGTGATACCCTACTGAGAATACTTAGTGATACACACTGAGAATAACTAGTGATACACACTGAGCATACCTAGTGATACCAACTGAGAATACTTAGTGATACACACTGAGAATTCCTAGTGATCCCCACTGAGAATTCCGAGTGATACCCACTGAGCATAGCTAGATATACCCACTGAGAATACCTAGGTATTCTCAGTGGGTATCACTAGGTATTCTCGAACTCAGTCATCCTAATATTTGTAATGTGACTTTACCTGGAACCAAAGGAAAACTATATTTATTATTTGTTCGGGGGTAACACAGGGCAAAGCTTTTAGTAGTTTAAATCTTTCAGTAACAAAAAAATGAATTTCTTGATATCTAGGAAAGATCTCGAAGTCAGTCATCCATGTCAAGTGACTTTACCTTATAAAGTTTACTTACTAGGAATGCTATTGGCGGGGGTCACAGAAACGGCTGTAGGATTCACAGCGCTGTGAGGGGGTGCTGGTGTAGGAATGTCTGTAAACAGAGGAATACCAACCGAAATAAGATGGTTATACATGTATCAGCTTACAGCTTTGATTTATTTTCCTTTCATATATAAATCTCACCTTATCTCCATTTTGGTACTAAAAATCATATATATATATACCCAAAATGTTTATTTTTGCAAAAGATCACTACAGAAAGTTAAATTCTCTCAAAAGGGCAAAACTAACTGAAAATTTAACTTACCAGCGCAGTCACACCAATATTGGACCTTATAGTCACTACAAGGAATAGGGAAGTTATCAGCATTGTTACATGTCAGACCACTATCAAGGTAGCAGCTGGCAATCTCTCCAGCACTGGCGAACTCGATGCCTTCTTTTGTCATACACTGTATTTTGGTCACGTTTCCTCCAGGACAGAACTGTTTCTTCTCAGCAGGTGTCATGGCTTCGTGCTCCATGTCACCACTTGTGGGGTTGTCGCGGTTCAGCCACTGCGACCAGCGTTTGTCACATGGTACAGGGGCTGGTGTTGGCTTTCCTGTTTGACCTACTGGGGCCATAGTTGGCTGACCAGTTTGACCAGCTGGTCCTAGAGTTGGGTTTCCAAACTTTCCCACCATGGGATTGACTGTTGGTGTTCCCAGACAGTAAAATAACATTAATTCAGATCATACAGGAACGATTCAGTCATGTTTATTTAAAGAAAAGTTGTGTTCCAAATGCTTATATTTACAATTCCACTGCAAGTTCTTATACAAACATTACATGAAGATAATTCATTCCTAGTACCATAAACACAATAGGATCAGGGTAATCATTTGATAATTCTACAGCTGACCTGCATAACATAAGAGCGTCATAAGAAACAAACATTTAGATGCATATTAAAATACCTTGGATGACATAAAACTCCTAAAGGTAATAGAAAATGCATTGGTGTTGAACCTTTCTGATTGCCAGATACAAGATGTAAGTTTTTCTGGTAATATTTCTGGGTAAATTATTTCTTTTTTTCCCCATGTTAACTTACCAGCACAGTCACACCAATATTGGACCTTATAGTCACTACAAGGTATAGGGAAGTTATCAGCGTTGTTACAGGTCAGACCAGAGTCAAGATGGCAGGTGGCGATCTCTCCAGCACTGGCGAACTCGATGCCTTCTTTCGTCATACACTGTATTTTGGTCACGTTTCCTCCAGGACAGAACTGTTTCTTCTCAGCAGGTGTCATGGCTTCGTGCTCCATGTCACCACTTGTGGGGTTGTCGCGGTTCAGCCACTGCGACCAGCGTTTGTCACATGGTACAGGGGCTGGTGTTGGCTTTCCTGTTTGACCTACTGGGGCCAGAGTTGGCTGTCCTGTGTGATTTGGAGGTGAAGCAGTGGGTAATCCAGAACCATCAGGATGAGGTGCTACTGTTGGTGTACCTAATAGGTAAAACATGGTTTGTAATTCATAACTCTAAATAAAAACATAGATCTTTTATTTTACTCTACAAATCAAACCATTGTCATGCCATTAAAGATCACACACCAATTTTACAGATATCAAAACAATTTTAAGAAAAGCTGAAACATGTAGACACAAAGGTAGACTTCTTAAGTGTTGCAATGATTTTGAGAAAAAATAAGTAAAGCTTAAAATCATAAAATTAGTCCAACAAATACAGCAAATACTGAAGACAGCCTAATTAGCCAGCTAAAACATGTAGACACAAAGATAGACAGGTAAATTGTTCTCGTGGGAATGAGTATCCTTTTATTCATTTATGAGCCAAATAAATTAAAACAGTTTCAACTGTTACCTGTATATCATTGTTACCTGTATATCATTGTTACCTGTATATCATTGTTATCTGTATACCATTGTTATCTGTATACCTTTGTTACCTGTATATCATTGTTATCTGTATATCATTGTTACCTGTATACCATTGTTACCTGTATATCATTGTTACCTGTATATCATTGTTATCTGTATATCATTGTTATCTGTATATCATTGTTACCTGTATATCATTGTTATCTGTATACCATTGTTACCTGTATATCATTGTTACCTGTATACCATCGTTACCTGTATATCATTGTTATCTGTATACCATTGTTACCTGTATATCATTGTTACCTGTATATCATTGTTACCTGTATATCATTGTTATCTGTATATCATTGTTATCTGTATATCATTGTTACCTGTATATCATTGTTACCTGTATACCATTGTTACCTGTATATCATTGTTACCTGTATATCATTGTTACCTGTATATCATTGTTATCTGTATATCATTGTTACCTGTATATCATTGTTACCTGTATATCATTGTTACCTGTATATCATTGTTATCTGTATATCATTGTTACCTGTATATCATTGTTACCTGTATATCATTGTTACCTGTATATCATTGTTATCTGTATATCATTGTTACCTGTATATCATTGTTACCTGTATATCATTGTTACCTGTATATCATTGTTATCTGTATATCATTGTTACCTGTATATCATTGTTACCTGTATATCATTGTTACCTGTATATCATTGTTATCTGTATATCATTGTTACCTGTATATCATTGTTACCTGTATATCATTGTTACCTGTATATCATTGTTATCTGTATATCATTGTTACCTGTATACAACTGTTACCTGTATACCATTAATTGTTACCTGTATACAGTCATTATCAATATGTTTCTCTTACCCTTAACAGGTGTCTCTCTTTAAAATTGGAAAATATCAGCTTGTCACCCCCTAGGGGGAGATAGTCTCATGCAGAATGGCGTGATTTAAGTCATAACAATTGTTTGACGTCACGTCAACAGTATCAGACCATGGAAGACAACTCAGGATTTGCTGGAAAAACATGCAATCAGCGCTTGTATTTCATGCAATCACCACTTGTTGGTGGATTTGTGAGTGAAACAGGATGGGAGAAAAACAATCATCCCATATACCTTGAGGGTGTGACAGAGAAATCTCCAATCCGAGGGATGACGTTCTTGATTGTCTTACCGAGGCTTTGGTAGATTCTATTAATCTTTACAACTGTTAGTTACCTGTACATCCATACAATTGCCAGCGAAGTGCAATGGCGCCTTCCCAGACAGCAGGTATTATCTGTACATAACGAGCCACAAATGGTACTAAGTTCTGTTTCACAGCACTGTTGGAGTCGAAGTTTCCACCGATCAGCTGCAAAGATACAGTAATACATTCTCAATACAATTGCTCAGTTCTGCAAAACAGTAAAAAAATGATTTTTACAAAAAGTTTCCTATCTTGAAAATATACAGATTATGACATCTCAAATACAAAACATTGAAAACTGAAGAAACCTGAAAGTTAGGTGGCCATACACTAAGCTATGGGTGTTCATGTTATTTGAGGGTATACCTAAACACAACATTTCAAAAGTTAAGATTCTGGCAAAATTGACATTATGTTTAAAACAATATATATTATAGAAAAGTAGCTTAAAATGGCTGAAAACCTCAGGGAAGTGATTTCCTTTCTTATTTAGAAATATTTATCCCATAAGATAACCCCATACGCTCAATAATTCACCCATAAGCTTAACATATATCTTAAATCTCTAAGGTACATACACTGAATTCTTAAATTCTATATCTTAAACAACACTTAACTCATTTATCCCTGAAGACACATTTGAACTGTTCCAATTCAAGAGTTGTAATAGTTTATTATGAAATTTCAGGGGTGAATGAGATAACATCAATACATTAAGCCCTATATATTAAATCCATTAGCTGTATACTTTAAACCAATAAGTTCCAAACACGTAAGTTCTATACCTTGGGTTGACCATTCTCCGAGTAGTAAGAGAAGCGTCCACCATCTACAGAATACATGATGTAGTACGCCTTGACCCATGATGGCTGTGTTTTGTGACCCTTGCTGGTGAGTCCCATGATGACCTTGGGCTGTCCAAGGTCAACCCTAATCCACTGTGACTTGTCGTTGGTGCCGGACACCCAAGCTTGGTCCGTGAGACGGGAGTGTTGTGGACCAGTCAGAGCGGACTGGCTTGTCGAGGCACTCAGAACAGCATTGGACATATCTATCACTGTGCCTTTGTCCATAGGGTTTTCACAGACTGAATACAGATACATTATCAAAGCATCAGATGTGTTCAAAAGTCATGTAATGCAGGATTACATCAGTGTCTTTTTTACATAAATTTTACAACAGCCTGTTCTTTTATTAACTGGGAAAATATAGCATTATTTTTATTGATTTTTTTTGATCATTTTGGGAAAATAAAGCACTAATTTACTGAGTTTGGGATTACAGTAGAGGGTCCTAACCTTACTGAGTTTGGAATTACAGAACCGGGTCCTAACCTTACTGAGTTTGGGATTAACAGTAGAGGGTCTTAACCTTACTGAGTTGGGGATTACAGTAGAGGGTCTTAACATTACTGAGTTGGGGATTAAAAGTAGAGGGTCTTAACCTTACTGAGTTGGGGATTACAGTAGAAGGGCCTTAATCTTACCGAGTTGGGGATTACAGTAGAGGGTCTTAACCTTACTGAGTTTGGGATTAACAGTAGAGGGTCTTAACCTTACTGAGTTGGGGATTACAGTAGAGGGTCTTAACCTTACTGAGTTGGGGATTAAAAGTAGAGGGTCTTAACCTTACTGAGTTGGGGATTACAGTAGAAGGGCCTTAATCTTACCGAGTTGGGGATTACAGTAGAGGGTCTTAACCTTACTGAGTTTGGGATTAACAGTAGAGGGTCTTAACCTTACTGAGTTGGGGATTACAGTAGAGGGTCTTAACCTTACTGAGTTGGGGAATACAGTAGAGGGTCCTAACCTTACTGAGTTGGGGATTACAGTAGAGGGTCTTAACCTTACTGAGTTGGGGAATACAGTAGAGAGTCCTAACCTTACTGAGTTGGGGATTACAGTAGAGGGTCTTAACCTTACTGAGTTGGGGATTACAGTAGAGGGTCCTAACCTTACTGAGTTGGGGATTACAGTAGAGGGTCTTAACCTTACTGAGTTGGGGAATACAGTAGAGAGTCCTAACCTTACTGAGTTGGGGATTACAGTAGAGGGTCTTAACCTTACTGAGTTGGGGATTAAAAGTAGAGGGTCTTAACCTTACTGAGTTGGGGATTACAGTAGAGGGTCTTAACCTTACTGAGTTGGGGATTAAAAGTAGAGGGTCTTAACCTTACTTGAGTTGGGGATTACAGTAGTGGGTCTTAACTTTACTGAGTTGGGGATTTCATTCAGTAGAGGATCTTAATCTTACTTGGTATGAGATGACAAATGTGGGTATAAACCTTACCTGGTGCAGGGGTCACAGAAGGTGTTCCAGAGGTTGTTGTCACACTCAGGGTAGGAGCTGGACCTAGAATAAGTATTGAAAAAATTCACAACATGTCATGGTATTTGGAAAAATTGTCCTGAGATTTAAAGTCAAATACTGTTTTCAAAGCCTAGGCTTGACTTTTTGATCTTGCCTCATGATTTATGCAAGTTATAAGAAAGTTGGTTTGAGCACAGAATCCATGCTTGAGCATGAGCAAAGTTTTTGTGAATACAGGGCCTGATCAGGGTCATATTCATAATATACCAAGTTTGAAGAAAATCTTCTTGGTACAACTAGTGGGAAGATTTTTAATATTACTGTGAAAATGGAGATGTTCACTTATTCTGCATTGAGTGAATTAGCACAAAAAATATTAACGCATGGATATCAAGTTATAGATTATATATATCACAGATTAATTTGTATAGAGTACATAGATTTTCGAACAATTGCCTTAGCGAAAAATTCCATACAGCCATTAATTTAAAAAGTCAAAAGCAAACATTTTCCCCACCCTATAATTTCACTTAAACAGCACACAGTAGCCTTAACAGTGACCTTCAGATAAAACTATAACTGGTTATTGGATTTTATAATGCTAAATCTTTAAGGAATCATAAGGTTTTTTTGTTTTTTTTTAAACATTTGACATCTGTGACTTCAAATAAAGCAACTTATTTTCACAATTACAATAGTCTTTCATAGAAGAAAGCTACATGTCCTAAAAGAAGACCATAAGCATTGTAGGAACTAAGAAGAGGATTTTGATTTTGAGAAGCCATAATATTTTAACACTGACTAGCAAATGATTTTCAGATACAAATGACCAAGCATTAATGCAAATTAGTATGTTTTTATTTTACTTACGGCAGACATCACATCTATATCTGATCTTGTAGTCGGTACAGGGGACAGGGAAGTTGTCGGCATTGTTACACACAAGTCCATCAGTAACAGAACACTTGATGATCTCCCCAGAGGATTCAGCAGGAGCATTGAGGGTCTCGTCCCAACATTCTATTCCACTGATGGTGCCAAGGCTACAGAAGTCAGTCTGTTTCTGGTACTCCAGTGCAGACACCTCATGGTCTCCGTCAGCGGTGTTGGGGTTCACTTGGTTTATCCATGGTGATACTGACACAGAGCAGATCGTTGGCTGGGCTGTGGGCTGACCATTGGGTCCGAGTCCTGGACCAGCTGTAGGCTGACCATTGGGTCCTACTACTGGACCAGCTGTTGGCTGACCGTTGGGTCCTAACACTGGCCCAGCTGTGGGCAGACCGTTTGGTCCAAATCCAGGTCCAGCTGTGGGATAACCATTAACATTAAGTCCTGGACCGGCTGTGGGCTGACCATTGGGTCCTAATCCTGGGCCAGCTGTAGGCTGAAGATCTGATTAAGAAAAAAATCAATAGATGGAAAATTGAGGTTATATGGTGACTTTTCTCAATGTTAAAAACATATGAGTGCCTTTCTATCTTAATACGAATTTCCTGAGAGGATTTATCACCGTAGCTCTCAGTGTCATGTCTACCAGTAGGTTGATGCAACTAGAAAACCTGTAACATCATTTTCTTTCTAATACTAACTCCTGATTTTTTTCCATTATGCCTCTGGATATCAAATATTTTGAACATTCAATATCTTTCCTTTTTTTTAAAGGACTAGGCGCGTTAAGGGTCATTTCCTGCCTCATAGGGGATTTTGAGTTAGTTATTATTTTTGTAATCTTGAATAAATCAAGTACGTAAATATGAAATATCTAATTCATTCAACAACTAGTTAAGGAGAAATGGCATTATAAAGAGACATAAACCAGCATTTTCATAATAAAATGCGTGAATATTGTCTTTTGTGCGTTATTTGGTTTAACATTGGCCATTTTGAAGGAAATTAACTTAATACTTTAAAATTTTTGAAAGCCTCCGCATGCAACAAACAAATTAATATTTGACATGTTTAAACATTGTCATTACCAGTGTTCACTCGTAGAAAGGAAGTTTTGTTTGTCACATGCAGAGTCTTTGCTTTCTGCATGTTAACTGTCCAAAAACACCACAGTTTGTCTATTTCTGCATAGCAACGCAATTCGGTTGCTAGTTGCTATGGTAGGGCATCTACACATGCTCATTGGAAAAAATATACACCAAGAAAGATAGCCCCCAATTAACCAATATGACGTTTATAACAGAAATTGGTAAATAAATTCAAGTTGAAAGTGTTACTAAGTACTTGTAGTATTGTTGACCTCACCACGCCAAACAATGCCACACCATACCATCCTACATCTAGTCCAATGGCTTTTAAATGTCAAAATATCTACACCAGCTGCAATCTACCAAATTTATTTAAAGAACTCGGCCCTTACAAGGAATAAATAGATATCTAAATAAAAAATGACCATTCTCTTTCTCACATATCAAAGATTTATAGTGTTGATTACTTACAATTATGTAATTTCCTACTTACCATTATGTACACTGGTCTGTGTTTCACTAAACATGTACCTCTAACATTCTATATACAATTATACATAGTTGTTCATGTGACACTTAATAAATGTGAGACATGCTAATGCAAACAGCACACCAATTAAAGCTATCGGCAGTAATACACAGGGATTGAACTTAACTCAAAGGCAAAATTTGGGAACTGTAATAACTGTATGAAAATCTGTTAAGCTTTCCATCACATTTTACTATAAATGATGACTTACGGCAGACATCACATCTATATCTGATCTTGTAGTCGGTACAGGGGACAGGGAAGTTGTCGGCATTGTTACACACAAGTCCATCAGTAACAGAACACTTGATGATCTCCCCAGAGGATTCAGCAGGAGCATTGAGGGTCTCGTCCCAACATTCTATTCCACTGATGGTGCCAAGGCTACAGAAGTCAGTCTGTTTCTGGTACTCCAGTGCAGACACCTCATGGTCTCCGTCAGCGGTGTTGGGGTTCACTTGGTTTATCCATGGTGATACTGACACAGAGCAGATCGTTGGCTGGGCTGTGGGCTGACCATTGGGTCCTAGTCCTGGACCAGCTGTAGGCTGACCATTGGGTCCTACTACTGGACCTGCTGTGGGTTGACCATTTGGTCCAAATCCTGGACCAGCTGTGGGATGACCATTTGATCCTATTCCTGGACCAGCTGTAGGTTGACCATTGGGTCCTAGGCCTGGACCAGCTGTGGGATGACCATTGAGTCCTACTCCTGGACCTGCTGTGGGATGACCATTAAGCCCTATTCCTGGACCAGCTGTAGGTTGACCATTGGGTCCAAATCCTGGACCAGCTGTTGGTTGACCATTCAGTCCTACTCCTGGGGCAGCTGTAGGCTGAAGATCTGTTTAAGACAAAACAAATCAATACCAGCAGATAAAAAATTGATGTAATATGGTTAATTTCTAATTTTTCACAATGTGAGAGTGTCCTGCTATCTTAAGATTAATTTAGTAACAAGATGTAACACTGTAGCTCGAAAGTGTCATGTTTATCAGTATTGTTAGGCAGCAAAAAGTCCAGGAACATCTTTTCCTTTATAACACCAACTCCTGATTTTTGGAATTTTGCCTCTGGATATCAAATCTTTGCATTATAAGGAAAAGATTATTGAAGGTAGAAGCAATATTCACCTGTCATATGACGTGAGTCAAAGTATCCATTATCAGACTCATAGTATACAAAGCCATTTTCAGTGTACAATAATCCAAATAATCATTCCTTATACTAGGTAATAGTTCATGTGACACTTTAAAATGTAAAACAGGTTACTGGTAAATGAAAATATCACAAAACTTAAGCAATCAGCATTAATAAACAGGAATTGAATTTAAGCAAAATCAGAGAACTGTATTTACTGTGTTGTTTTCCATTATAATTCACAATAAATGAGGACTTACGGCAGACATCACATCTATATCTGATCTTGTAGTCGGTACAGGGGACAGGGAAGTTGTCGGCATTGTTACACACAAGTCCATCAGTAACAGAACACTTGATGATCTCCCCAGAGGATTCAGCAGGAGCATTGAGGGTCTCGTCCCAACATTCTATTCCACTGATGGTGCCAAGGCTACAGAAGTCAGTCTGTTTCTGGTACTCCAGTGCAGACACCTCATGGTCTCCGTCAGCGGTGTTGGGGTTCACTTGGTTTATCCATGGTGATACTGACACAGAGCAGATCGTTGGCTGGGCTGTGGGCTGACCATTGGGTCCTAGTCCTGGACCAGCTGTAGGCTGACCATTGGGTCCTACTACTGGACCTGCTGTGGGCTGACCATTGGGTCCTAGTCCTGGACCAGCTGTAGGCTGACCATTGGGTCCTACTACTGGACCTGCTGTGGGTTGACCATTTGGTCCAAATCCTGGACCAGCTGTGGGATGACCATTTGATCCTATTCCTGGACCAGCTGTAGGTTGACCATTGGGTCCTAGGCCTGGACCAGCTGTGGGATGACCATTGAGTCCTACTCCTGGACCTGCTGTGGGATGACCATTAAGCCCTATTCCTGGACCAGCTGTAGGTTGACCATTGGGTCCAAATCCTGGACCAGCTGTTGGTTGACCATTCAGTCCTACTCCTGGGGCAGCTGTAGGCTGAAGATCTGTTTAAGACAAAACAAATCAATACCAGCAGATAAAAAATTGATGTAATATGGTTAATTTCTAATTTTTCACAATGTGAGAGTGTCCTGCTATCTTAAGATTAATTTAGTAACAAGATGTAACACTGTAGCTCGAAAGTGCCATGTTTATCAGTATTGTTAGGCAGCAAAAAGTCCAGGAACATCTTTTCTTTTATAACACCAACTCCTGATTTTTGGAATTTTGCCTCTGGATATCAAATCTTTGCATTATAAGGAAAAGATTATTGAAGGTTGAAGCAATATTCACCTATCATATGACGTGAGTCAAAGTATCCATTATCAGACTCATAGTATACAAAGCCATTTTCAGTGTACAATAATCCAAATAATCATTCCTTATACTAGGTAATAGTTCATGTGACACTTTAAAATGTAAAACAGGTTACTGGTAAATGAAAATATCACAAAACTTAAGCAATCAGCATTAATAAACAGGAATTGAATTTAAGCAAAATCAGAGAACTGTATTTACTGTGTTGTTTTCCATTATAATTCACAATAAATGAGGACTTACGGCAGACATCACATCTATATCTGATCTTGTAGTCGGTACAGGGGACAGGGAAGTTGTCGGCATTGTTACACACAAGTCCATCAGTAACAGAACACTTGATGATCTCCCCAGAGGATTCAGCAGGAGCATTGAGGGTCTCGTCCCAACATTCTATTCCACTGATGGTGCCAAGGCTACAGAAGTCAGTCTGTTTCTGGTACTCCAGTGCAGACACCTCATGGTCTCCGTCAGCGGTGTTGGGGTTCACTTGGTTTATCCATGGTGATAGTGTAAAGGAGCAGATCGTTGGCTGGGCTGTGGGCTGACCATTGGGTCCTAGTCCTGGACCAGCTGTAGGCTGACCATTGGGTCCTACTACTGGACCTGCTGTGGGTTGACCATTTGGTCCAAATCCTGGACCAGCTGTGGGTTGACCATTTGGTCCAAATCCTGGACCAGCTGTGGGATGACCATTGGATCCTATTCCTGGACCAGCTGTAGGTTGACCATTGGGTCCTAGGCCTGGACCAGCTGTGGGATGACCATTGAGTCCTACTCCTGGACCTGCTGTGGGCTGACCATTTGGTCCCAATCCTGGACCTGCTGTGGGTTGACCATTTGGTCCAAATCCTGGACCAGCTGTTGGCTTTCCGTTTGGTCCTAAGCCTGGACCAGCTGTGGGATGACCATTGGGTCCTATATCTGGACCAGCAGTAGGTTGACCATTTGTTCCAAATCCTGGACCAGCTGTTGGCTTACCATTGGGTCCAAGGCCTGGACCAGCTGTGGGCTGACCATTGGGTCCTACTCCTGGACCTGCTGTGGGCTGACCATTTGGTCCCAATCCCGGACCTGCTGTGGGTTGACCATTTGGTCCAAATCCTGGACCAGCTGTTGGCTTCTTATCAGGTCCTAATCCTGGTCCAGCTGTGGGTTGACCGTTTGGTCCTAATCCTGGTCCAGCTGTGGGTTGACCGTTGGGTCCTACTCCTGGACCAGCTGTGGGTTTTCCATCAGGTCCTAATCCCGGTCCAGCTGTGGGTTGACCATTGGGTCCTAATTCTGGTCCAGCTGTGGGCTGACCATTGGGTCCTACTCCTGGACCAGCAGTGGGTTGACCATTTGGTCCCATTCCTGGTCCAGCTGTGTTTCCCCAATATGGTGGTATTAATCCTAGATCAGGTGTGGGCTTACTTTGACTACCAGGGACTGGACCTGCTGTGGGTTGACCATTGGGTCCTAATCCTGGACCAGCAGTGGGTTGACCATTTGGTCCCATTCCTGGTCCAGCTGTGTTTCCCCAAGATGGTGGTATTAATCCTAGATCAGGTGTGGGCTTACTTTGTTTACCAGGGACTGGACCTGCTGTGGGTTGACCATTGGGTCCTAATCCTGGACCAGCTGTAGGTTGCCCATTTGGTCCCACTCCAGGACCAGCTGTAGGTGTTCCATCAGGTCCTAATCCTGGTCCAGCTGTGGGCTGACCATTGGGTCCTACTCCTGGTCCAGCTGTGGGTTTTCCATCTGGTCCTAATCCTGGTCCAGCTGTGGGCTGACCACTGGGTCCTACTCCTGGTCCAGCTGTGGGTTTTCCATCTGGTCCTAATCCTGGTCCAGCTGTGGGCTGACCACTGGGTCCTACTCCTGGTCCAGCTGTGGGTTTTCCATCTGGTCCTAATCCTGGTCCAGCTGTGGGCTGACCATTGGGTCCTACTCCTGGACCAGCTGTGGGTTTTCCATCAGGTCCTAATGCTGGACCAGCTGTGGGCTTACTTTGATTACCAGGGACTGGTAGTGTTGAACAGTCCACTCCACGGGGCTCACAGAACACCCGAACCTCATAGTCATAGCAACGTCCTCCCGTGGTTGTCTGTCTACTGTTGACACAGGTGAGCCCACCTCTGTGGAAATCACAGATAATTCCAGACTGTCCAGCCTCTGTGTAGGACAGGGAGGTGCCAGTCCGCCTACACTCTATAGCAGTGATGTCATCAGTGTCACAGAAACTGTACTGGTGTCGCAGATCAACAAACAGTTCCAACTCAGCCACATCATTAGGCTTATTTCCATTCATCCAGGTTGACCATCCACAAACTGGAGGGCTTGCTGTAGGCTTACCATTTGGTCCTAATCCTGGACCAGCTGTTGGATGACCATTGAGTCCTACTCCTGGACCTGCTGTTGGATGACCATTGGGTCCTACTCCTGGACCTGCTGTGGGATGACCATTGGGTCCTAGTCCTGGACCTGCTGTTGGATGACCATTGGGTCCTACTTCTGGACCTGCTGTGGGATGACCATTAGGTCCTAATCCTGGTCCTGCCGTAGGTTTGCCATTTGGTCCTACTCCTGGACCAGCTGTGGGCTGTCCATTTGGTCCAGATCCTGGTCCTGCTGTGGGTTTTCCATTAGGTCCTAATACTGGGGCTGCTGTCGGCTGACCATTGGGTCCTAATCCTGGACCAGCTGTTGGAAAAATCTTACAGTCGCAGAAAACACGAACCTCATAGTCTTGACATTTCTTATCTTGCTGTAATTCATTTCTACACCTGAGACCTCGTATTCTGTCACAGGTGACAATATCACCACTAGCAGTGTAGGGCAAGTGGTTCTTAGCAATGCGACATTCAATTCTTGTCATCTGTTGGAAGGTACAAAGAGTCATGGAATTCCTCATACTTGACAGTGATTCAAAGTCTCCAGCCAACACTTTACCAGGTTTCATAACTGTTGGACTATCTGTATTAATCCATGAAGACCACCCACATATTGGGGCAGCTGTGGGCTTACCATTAGGTCCTAATCCTGGACCAGCTGTGGGCTGACCATGAGGTCCCAGTCCTGGACCAGCTGTGGGCTGACCATTGGGTCCTAACCCTGGACCAGCTGTGGGCTGACCATTTGGTCCTAATCCTGGACCAGCTGTGGGTTTTCCAGCAGGTCCTAATCCTGGACCAGCTGTGGGCTGACCATTGGGTCCTAATCCTGGGCCAGCTGTTGGCTGACCATTGGGTCCTAATCCTGGACCAGCTGTGGGCTGACAATTGGGTCCTACTCCTGGACCAGCTGTGGGCTGACCATTGGGGCCTAATCCTGGACCAGCTGTGGGCTGACCATTGGGTCCTAATCCTGGACCAGCTGTGGGCTGACCATTGGGTCCTAATTCAGGGCCAGCTGTTGGCTGACCATTTGGTCCTAATCCAGGACCAGCTGTGGGTTTTCCATTGGGTCCTAATCCAGGGCCAGCTGTGGGCTGACCATTGGGTCCTAATCCAGGGCCTGCTGTGGGCTGACCATTGGGTCCTAATCCTGGACCAGCTGTGGGCAGACCATTCGGTCCTAATCCTGGGCCTGCTGTGGGCTGACCATTAGGTCCTAATCCAGGGCCAGCTGTTGGTTGACCATTGGGTCCTAATTCTGGTTGTGCAGTGGGCTGACCATTTGTTCCTAATTCTGGGACAGGGCCTACAGAAACATAAGTTTTGTGAAGAGCATACAGAGATGATGATTCTTAATGAAGGATAATTGTAGAACTGCATGGATGTGTATTATTTTTATTTTTTTAAATATTGGATTTCATTTTTTTAGACAGATATAATACTTTACATACATTGCATTGCGAAGAACTTACATGATCTTAAGTACATGCATTTGACCTTAAATTCTGTATAAAGCTTATAATACATAAAGAAGAATCAATATGGACAGAAGTATTTGACCTAACAGTTTTGCATGATAAGGAAGAACCTACTTGTACAAGGGCAGAAGAATCGGATCTCATAGTCTTTACACTTGTTGCTATTTTCCCAGTTGAGGCACTTTAGCCCTGTCTGGAGGTCACAGGTCAGCTTCTGGCCCGAGAGGGAGGCATCAGTGTGTGTGGCTACATCCCGACACTCCACCTGGACGGGGTTCGAACAGAATGTATGGTCTTCACGAATCGCAGACAGAGACTCCATATCACCCACACCGATTGCAGGGGAATCCACACTGATCCAGTACGTCCATGCACATGCAGGGTGAATAAACGTGGGGATTGCTATTTACAAAGGAACAGTGAAAAAAAACAATAAATTTCAAAAGTCATTACCTTTACCAAGTATTTTGTTTCTAGATAAATTTTAATTAAAATGGCCTGTTCCCACATGAATTGGGAAAATATAGCACAGTTTTTACTGAAATTGAAATGATATTTCTCATTTTTCTTCATTTTTGGAAGGCACAATTTTACTAGGGGAAGCAGTCTGTATTCAGCAGTAAAGCTAGGGAAATATAACTCACTGGTACCATAAACACTTGGAACAATTTTACATTAAAATTCAATAATGAATGGGAACCAAATATACGGCCCCTATATCATTTTATAATGTCTTAGCTACAGAAACTGTGGCAGCAGTCTAATTACATATCAATATATCTCAGCTTGGTGAGTGATACTTTTCCTGCAGAACTTTGTGCATTAAAATAACGTTTAATAATATTTCTAAGTAAAATTTATAAAGAATTGCCAGCAAGAAACATAACAGGCCTAGGTTGGGACTACTTTTTATTGTTAAGTGTGGTTGATGTATGATGGAAGTGTGGCTGATGTATGATGTGTGGCTGATGTATGATGGAAGTGTGGCTGATCTATGATGGAAGTGTGGCTGATGTATGATGGATGTGTGGCTGATGTATGATGGAAGTGTGGCTGATGTATGATGGAAGTGTGGCTGATGTATGATGGAAGTTTGGCTGATGTATGATGGAAGTGTGGCTGATGTATGATGGAAGTGTGGCTGATATATGATGGAAGTGTGGCTGATCTATGATGGAAGTGTGGCTGATCTATGATGGAAGTGTGGCTGATATATGATGGATGCTGTACTGTATGTGTGAGTTGATGAAGCTCACCTCCAGGCTGAGGGGAAGGTCCTAAGGTTGTACTCAGGCAGTTATTATCTCGGATACAGCTCAATGTGTTGTTGAAGCAGCGACAGACAGAGCACTCATCAAACGGATTTGTCCATGTCTCGAAGGGCTGCAACAAGAATGTTGAAATTTTGTATATTTTTTCGGGGGTATTTGTACTTGTTTCAGACCAAATACTCTGTCCAACACTTCATTACGCTGTTAAGAATATTCATGCTACATTACTGTTACATCTAAGTGCTAAGGACCAAGAATGATTGCAAAAATAACTTTTATAAGTGGAAATTTAGAAATTTTGACAAGGGGCTAATAACTGTATATCGGGGAATATTTTGCCACAGCTAAATAGTCAACTTGCAATTGTTTGCTCTTCACAATGAGGGCGATATTATCATCAGAGTGAATATAAATACCCTATATATTTATGACATTTTAGTGCGAAAAATAATAATGGGTGAACGTGGATTTTAACCATTGAAGTACAAATTTTTGACAGGGCGAAAGTTTCCCAGTATACTGTAATTGATGACACATTTTAAAAGCAAACAAGGGTTCATGTATTTAAAATACCTGTACATAAGTAATTCTAAATCAACAAATAAAGCTTATTTAACATTCTGAGGGAAGTAACTCTTACAAGTAGTACCAGCTGAAAACAATGAGTTACCTTGGCGATGGAGCCATCTTGTTTCCGACAGGGACACATGGACTCTGGAACACAGGTGCCTTTGTCTTTGAGTTTTTCTCCAGGTGCACAGGCGAATGTGTCTGTCTTACACATGGCCACACATGCATCACTAGTCTTGCAGCTGTCTGTCAGGCTGGACAGACTGTTGCACATATCCTCGCATTTGTACGCACAGGCATGCAGACTCTCACCTGGTGCACATACCGCTGAAATCCCACAAACACAGGTTATAATGTGTGGCTCATCATTTCTTATTTCAAACACAGGTTATATTGGGAAAATATCAAAGTAACTCCACAAGTTACTGTGCATTATAGTGTAAAGTAAGCTGGGTTTTAAATATTGAGTTTTACTGAAATTTTATATCATTACTTGTTTCATTGTACAATGAAGTAGAAATTGTATCCCATCTTATTTCTGATCAACTGTGATTTTGGAGGTAATTAACTGATGAAATATATTGTTTCTGTTAAAACTGAAAAGTACTGTATGACATGAATGCACTTGGCCCTGTTGTTGACCTATAAATAGCAAGAGTGACCTTGGCATTGACCTTGGTACCCTGAAATACTTGCTTATCTGAGAAATTTTGGAAATCACAAATAATTTGTATGTTTCACATTGTGTTCTGATGATAATTCTGCATCCTCATACATATTATTTGTTCAAGGAAATCATCCAGAAAAATTAGAAACGTTAAACAAGCTCTCAAACCTAAATTTAACAAGTTACAAAAGTCTGCAAAGCTATTTTTGCAGTTGTAAATGGTGTAAATTGAAGTCCCTGTACATGTGCTGTTTGTAACAACATGATACATCTATGTACCAAATTTGGTTGCAATCAGTCATTATTTCAATTTTGACCAATCAGAAGCTACGAGAGCTATCTTGAATGTGCAGCAGCCGAAAAAAGTGTCTTGAACATCTAGGCAGGCCAACCAGTACTAAGTTTCATTTTAATTCAACTTGTTTTTGAGAAACTGTACGGACAAGTTCAAGGCGAGAGGTAAGAAGAAGAAAAACACTGTAAAACATTAAGTACCAAAATGAAGGGGATTTATATACCATTCAGTATCAATGGTGAAGACCCACCTGTGGATGTCTCTATGATCAGATTTGTTCCAGATGTTGTTGAGATCATTCCGGGGTTACCTGAGGAGAAAATATAGGTTATTCATGAATGTAAAACAAAACAAAATGCAGGAAAATAATGAAATGTTCATTCGGGCAATTTTCATAAATTTCTTGAAATTTTGAAGTATGTGTCAGGAAAAGAAGATGATATTCTTCCAATAGGATTTTTGATTTTTTGGTATGTAGTCTTTATCTACTTTCTATTAAGAAGCATTTCATATATGCCTCCTTTGTTTTCACATATTATTACTAAAGATTATTTTTGTTTGGTATTGTTAACTTTTCCAGCTACGTGATACAAAGGAATCTTGTGACAGTAAGATGGTGTCATCCAGATTTCTGCTAAGATATACTTACAGTAGTCGTTATTCCAGCACATGACCTGGACCTCGTAGTCTTCACATTGCCCATTCTGTTGGTCACGGTTGTAACACCTGAGTCCATTGGTCACATCACATGTCACGCCCTTCTGCCCGGCAATGGCTAGGGGTGTTTCGCTTCCACGAACACGGCACTTAATATCAATTATGTCCTTACAAAGACCGTACTTGTACTTCAGCCCATTAATGGTCTCGAAATCTCCGCTGTTTAGGCGACTTTCTGGAGTGTAGCTGTTCAACCAGGAAGACCAGCCGCAACGGACGAAAGAGGGTAGGGATGTTGTGGAAACCCTTGCAGGTGTGACAGCAGATGTTGTATGTGGTGAACATTCGCAGTAATAACGAATCTTATAGTCGTTACAATCTATCGGGTAGTTCTCCGAATTAAGACAGGTGAGACCAGATGCCACGTTACAGGTGACTATCTCTCCTGTGCTGTAGAAAGGGATGGGGTTTACCTCGTCAGATGTGTAGCATTCAATTTTCGTGACCTTTCCACCAATACAGAAGTCTTCAAGGTCAGTCTGACTTGCCTGCTCATGGTCACCATCACCACTAGATGGTTTGTCTTGGTTTATCCAATTCGAAAATTGACTCTGAGTACATTGCGTGATTACTACCGTAGGAGTTCCGATGTCTGGCAAACCTGGGGTAGGAGTACCTATAACATACAATAAAATCTGAGTACAGACTGGGTCACTAAAACTGTGTGAGTACTGGCAAAACTGGGTAAGGAGTTCCTATAACATACGATACAATCTGAGTACAGACTAGGAGTACCTATAACAGACAATACAATCTGAGTACAGACTAGGAGTACCTATAACATACAATACAATCAGAGTACAGACTGGGTCACTAAAACTGTGTGAGTACTGGCAAACCTGGGTAAGGAGTTCCTATAACATACAATACAATCTGAGTACAGACTAGGAGTACCTATAACAGACAATACAATCTGAGCACAGACTAGGAGTACCTATAACAGACAATACACTCAGAGTACAGACTGTGTCAATAAAACTATGTGAGCACTGGCTAACTTGGGTTAGGAGTTCCTATAAAATACAATACAATCTGAATACAGGCTGTGTCACTAAAACTGTGTGAGTACTGGTGTCTGGGTTTGGAGAATTTAATACATACAATCTGAGTACATGGTAATGGATACAGCTGTGTGAGTACTGCTGCCTGGCATACTTAGGGATGGAGTACCTAATATATACAATCCGAGTACATTGTATGGATACAACTCTATGAGTATTGATGCTTGGAAAACTTTTGGTTTCACTACATACAATAGGAGTACAGTGTATCACTCAAGCTGTGCAAGAAAATTGATATTTGGTTTATCTGGGGTTGGAGTACCTTAAACATACAATTGGAGTACAGTGTGTGATTATAGGTGCATAGCATACCTTTAGTAAGAATACCTCATACATACATGTACAATACAATCTGATTACAGTGTGTGATTATTGGTGCCTAGCAAATCTACCATAGGAACACCTAATACAATTTGATTACAGTATGTGAGTACAGCTGTGTGATTATAGGTGTCTAGCTTACTTGGGGTAAGAATACCTACTGGTAGTCACAAAATAAAATGAGTGGGAGTTTTAAAATGTAAATCTCCTTTACTTTTAATTTCTGAGATTATTTCCAATTTTTTAAAAGTTGATTTATTGTCCATATGGATTTTTTCTTAGAAAGAACAAGAACTGTATGCAATTTACTAACTACAAGTAAAGTAATGTAATGCATTGAAAATTAAACTGCATTGTTCACTACCTATATAATTCTATATAATCAACCCAACCTCCCCTATTTCCAAATGTAGTCTGGGTACATACCATTGGGTCCTAAACCTGGCTGGGCAGTGGGCTGACCATTGGTACCTAGTCCTGGTCCTGCTGTGGGCTGACCATTTGGTCCCATTCCTGGACCTGCTGTGGGCTGACCATTTGATCCCATTCCTGGACCAGCTGTTGGCTGACCATTGGGTCCCATTCCTGGACCAGCTGTGGGCTGACCGTTGGGTCCTAATCCTGGTCCAGCTGTGGGCTGACCATTGAGCCCTAGTCCTGGTCCAGCTGTGGGTTGACCATTGGGTCCTAGTCCTGGTCCAGCTGTGGGCTGACCATTGGGTCCTAGTCCTGGACCAGCTGACGGCTGACCATTGAGTCCTAGTCCTGGACCAGCTGTGGGTTTACCATTGGGTCCTAGTCCTGGTCCTGCTGTGGGTTGACCATTTGGTCCCATGCCTGGACCAGCTGTGGGTTTTCCATCAGGTCCTAATCCGGGACCAGCTGTTGGCTGACCATCGGGTCCCATTCCTGGACCAGCTGTTGGCTGACCATTAGGTCCTACATTGGGTCCAGCGGTAGGCTGACCATTGGGACCTAATCCTGGACCAGCTGTGGGTTTTCCATTTGGTCCTAATCCTGGACCAGCTGTGGGTTTTCCATCAGGTCCTAATCCTGGACCAGCCGTGGGCTGACCATTTGGTCCTAATCCTGGACCAGCTGTAGGCTGACCATTGGGACCTAATCCTGGACCAGCTGTGGGTTTTCCATCAGGTCCTAATCCTGGACCAGCTGTGGGCTGACCATTGGTTCCAAATCCTGGACCAGCTGTTGGTTTTCCATTAGGTCCTACACCTGGACCAGCTGTTGGCTGACCATTAGGCCCTACATTTGGTCCAGCGGTAGGCTGACCATTGGGACCTAGTCCTGGACCAGCTGTGGGTTTTCCATCAGGTCCTAATCCTGGAACAGCTGTGGGCTGACCAATGGCACTCATTCCTGGACCAGCTGTAGGCTGACCATTTGGTCCCATTCCTGGACCAGCTGTTGGTTTTCCATCAGGTCCTAACCCTGGACCAGCTGTGGGTTGACCATTTGGTCCTAGTCCTGGTCCTGCTGTGGGTTTTCCATCAGGTCCTAATCCGGGACCAGCTGTGGGCTGACCATCGGGTCCCATTCCTGGACCAGCTGTGGGCTGACCATTAGGTCCTACACCTGAACCAGCTGTTGGCTGACCATTAGGCCCTACATTCGGTCCAGCGGTAGGCTGACCATTGGGACCTAGTCCTGGACCAGCTGTGGGTTTTCCATCAGGTCCTAATCCTGGACCGGCTGTAGGTTGACCATTCGGTCCTAATCCTGGTCCAGCTGTGGGTTTTCCATCAGGTCCTAATCCTGGACCGGCTGTAGGTTGACCATTCGGTCCTAATCCTGGTCCAGCTGTGGGTTTTCCATCAGGTCCTAATCCTGGACCAGGTGTGGGCTGACCATTGGGTCCTACACCTGGACCAGCTGTGGGCTGACCATTGGGTCCTAATCCTGGACCAGCTGTAGGCTGACCATTTGGTCCCATTCCTGGACCAGCTGTGGGTTGACCATTGGATCCTAATCCTGGTCCAGCCGTGGGTTTTCCATCAGGTCCTAATCCTGGACCAGCTGTGGGTTTTCCATCAGGTCCTAATCCTGGACCAGCTGTTGGCTGACCATTGGGTCCTAATGCTGGACCAGCTGTGGGTTTTCCATCAGGTCCTAATCCTGGACCAGCTGTAGGTTGACCATTCGGTCCTAATCCTGGTCCAGCTGTGGGTTTTCCATCAGGTCCTAATACTGGACCAGCTGTGGGCTGACCATTGGGTCCTATTCCAGGCAGAGGTGTGGTGGAATATATGTCATGTCTTGTTGGTTTGGTAACTGCAGTTGGAACAGAATAAAGAAGTTAGAATATAGTGATCAATTTTATCCAGAACTAGTAATCTACAGATATGTTTTTGGTATCATCTCAGCTGTGCAATGGCATGTTCACATAGGGAATTTTAAAGGTGTTTGCTCATCATTTACAAAGTACATTTTAATTATCCTACCTATCTATAATGACTCGTGTTATATGGATTCCTGTCTAAAACCAGACTTTGATAAGTCCATGCCATCTTAGAACTTCTTTTCTTGATTTAACGATTCCTGTCCCACTGCATTGAAAGTTTTTTGTATAATTATACAGTAACCTCCCCTTATCTTAGTTGAGGGTATATCTGTAGAACAGTTAGGCCGGGACACCTCCTTCGATCAGGTAGCTCAATCAGAGCAATAGTATAACAACCTGTAGTCCAGGGTTCAAATCTTGATCTTGTCCCATATTTTATTTTTTGTTCAATCAGAATATTGTTTTTGATTAATGTTTGTTCTTCTTATAAAAATTATGCAATGTATAACATAAAATACATAGTAACTGTATACAGACTGGAGGTGTTTGACGTTCACCGGCAGTCAAAATTTTGTCCTTCGACAGTAAAATCCATATTTGCCCGGTGTTAATTTCGCATTTACATTTACTGACTATGTCTATGATGTTGTTAACCAGTGTTTGCTGTAAAGAGAGATTTGCCCTCACTAGGAAGGGGCAAAAAAGGTGAACATTAAACTGCAGCCAAAATGTCCAGTTTACAGTTTTCCCAGTGGTACGGGGATCCTTAACCCTTTCACCAGTGTAGACCATAATGGACCCCTTCATATGAATGCATGGTAGTCTACTGAAGTTACATAGGGGTGAAAGGGTTAAGTATGCCAACCTTATCTTATCTGGACACTACCTACTCTGGAAGCATGCGGTGTTTACCAATAATGATTGATAACTACTTGTGAGAACACACTGCATATTTTGGTGTTAACTTTCCTCGGCCAACTATCACTGAAAAATTGTTTGATGCAAAGATGTCATCTGCTGATATATTTTTTTAAGTAATGTAACTGACCATGCCTTAGAGCTGTTCTGACAAGAGTGCTACATTTCAAAGGGTAAAAACTGGCAAACAAAGCTATTCAGCTTGTTGATATTGAACATTACAGACTGTATAAACAGGACATTTTTTTAAACAGCTAAATATCACCGTCCTAGTCACGTGTAGTTTTTATGTTTTATACCGTATATATAGAGGTCCCTCAATGAGTTATGGTTGGTTATCATGTTTATCTCAATGGAGTTAGTTGATTTTCAAAAAGAATAAAGACATGTGGTTTACCGAGCATAAATACATAGAAATTCCAAAACTCAATTCGGAATAAATTCATGAAATTTTCATAAGCATAAACATTGAAATATACAATTTCACAATGAGAGGTAAATGAGAATGAAAATTGATGAGCCTTCAGATATATTTGACAAAAATCTCTCAAAGATTTCTCCAAGCCCAATTGTGTTTTCTTAGAAAATCTTAGAGAGTCATTCATGCATGCATGCATACTGAAAAATAAGATGTGAAAAATTCCTAATTTTCTAAAATATTTCTGATCAAAACCTTACATGCACTTTTGAAATCAAGGAAGAAAAATCACTTAGTTTAAAACTGACAGAATGACTGCAATAAAATTAAATTAAAAAATTTGGTGTTGAGTGAAACCAATAGGTACAACTTACTGTGTAATCAGGTGTTTTTCCAGGGTCCCAAATTTCGTGGTTTCCCAACAAAACACCATTTTGTAGGTGCATGAATTCAAGGATTACGAGTACCCACTCAAATGGAGAATTGTTTAATATCAAACTTGGAACTACTTCGTGGACTAATGAATTTGTGGATGAAGGTTACCCATGAAATGTACAAAATTAAAAACTTCACAAAAATTTGTGATTCTAAAGTACTGTATACTGTATATACATGTATGTAAAAATGCAAAATGGGATTTACAAGTCATGAACATGATGGGTTTATACAACTATACATACATGCACATAGTTCTTTGCACTGGTACTTGATCTTGTAATCCTGACAGGAAAATGGGAAGTTCTCCACATTTTTACAGGAGAATCCTGTCACTATGTTGCAGGTGATGCTCTCTCCACTGCTGTAGGCAGGTGTATTATCGGCGGCCAAGTAACACTCCACCTTGCTTATCTCCCCTTGGGCACAGAAACTAATTTGAAAAGGAAATAAATTGTGTAAATTCTCTTTAAACTAGAATTGTTATTATGAGGCAAACTCATAGTTCCACATGGCCCCCATACCATAAATTCCTCTTTATACAAAACCAATTATAAGTTGAGGCCTTTTAGGGACTTGCAACAATTTGAAAATTTTCTTGGAAATATTGCAGAAAAATACTAACATATAACAAATACCATGTTCTGAGGTGTCGTGGATAAACTCCATGCTTTATATCTTCAATCAAGAGGTCAACAGAACACATACAAGAGGTGGGATGTTTTTTTTATATAAAGTAAGTGTTATACAGGTTACTTTGATATACTTTCACATATTGACACAATATAAAATTCATCAAAAAAATTATCAGATTCCTTTCTATGTAAATAAATCAAGTTTCCAGTTAGGTAAAGAGGGCAGTCACTTTTAAGTTATGAAAGTTCAGTCTGTCTTGAGCTAGAAAAGGTCAGTCTGTTTTGAGCTAGAAAAGGGCAGTCTGTTTTGAGCTAGAAAAGGGCAGTCGGTTTTGAGCTAGAAAAGGTCAGTCTGTTTTGAGCTAGAAAAGGTCAGTCTGTTTTGAGCTAGATAAGGGCAGTCTGTTTTGAGCTAGAAAAGGTCAGTCTGTCTTGAGCTAGAAAAGGTCAGTCTGTCTTGAGCTAGATAAGGGCAGTCTGTTTTGAGCTAGATAAGGGCAGTCAGTTAGGATTACTTTCATACAGTTAAATCCTTTTGGTGTCTTTGAAATCGGGGGACCAGAGACCAGTGACTTGAGGTATCCTGCCCTGACAGAGGGTCCAGCTGAACAGTATTGATTAGGGTAGACAACCAAGGGTAGCTGGTTGAAGTTCAAGGGTCTGAGTTTTACAAAAGTTTGAGCTAAAAAGGGGCAGACAGTTTTGGAGCTAGAACAGGCCCAGAGTATACTTACGGAGCTAAAACAGGCCCAGAATATACTTACGTGTGTTGTTCTTCTGGTGTCATGAACTCCAAGTCACCTGTTCCTGTGCTGGGCTTGTCTCTATTGAGCCAAGCTGACCACCGTGTACATTTTTCAGGGGCAGCAGTTGGTTTTCCATTTGGTCCAAATCCTGGACCATATAATATAGGATTACCATTGGGTCCTAGTCCTGGTCTAGCTGTTGGCTGACCATTGGGTCCTAGTCCTGGACCAGCTGTGGGCTGACCATTGAGGCCTAGTCCTGGTCCAGCTGTGGGCTGACCCTTGAGCCCTAGTCCTGGTCCAGCTGTGGGTCGACCATTGGGTCCTAGTCCTGGTCCAGCTCTGGGCTGACCATTGGGTCCTAGTCCTGGTCCTGCTGTGGGTTGACCATTTGGTCCAAATCCTGGACCATATAATATAGGATTACCATTGGGGCCTAGTCCTGGTCTAGCTGTTGGCTGACCATTGGGTCCTAGGCCTGGACCAGCTGTGGGTTGACCATTGGGTCCTAGTCCTGGCCCAGCGGTGGGCTGCCCATTGGGTCCTAGTCCTGGTCCTGCTGTGGGCTGACCATTGGGTCCTAGTCCTGGACCAGCTGTAGGTTGACCATTGGGTCCTAATCCTGGACCAGCTGTAGGTTGACCATTGGGTCCAAATCCTGGACCAGCTGTAGGTTGACCATTTGGTCCAAATCCTGGACCAGCTGTGGGCTTACCATTAGGTCCTAGTCCTGGACCAGCTGTGGGCTGACCATTGGGTCCTAATCCTGGACCAGCTGTGGGCTGACCGTTGGGTCCTAATCCTGGACCAGCTGTGGGCTGACCAGGCACAAGAGTTGTTGGTTCTGTATTAAAATATAATGTGTGTTAGTTAGTTCAATATAAACAAAATTAAGTTTTCCTTAACTTCAATCTGTAATCTATATAAATCTTTCAACAACCAATCTAATAACACTATCTGGTGAGAAATATATCTGGTGAGAAATCAAGTTTTGTTGTTGAGGGTTTAAATTCGTGTAAGTAAAATATAACAGTTAAATACACCTTATATATTAAATAAATTTTGTGAAAATCAGACCCTTGCACTTCAACCGGCTACCCTTGGTAGTCTACCCTAATCAATATTGTTGATAATGTTGACTGAAGCCTCAGTCAGGGAAGGATACCTCAAGTCACTGGTCTCTGGTTACACAATTTCACAGACACCCAAAGGAATTAACTGTTTAACTAATAATATGCAATATAAATATCAAAGTAATAATAACTGTATTACCAGGAAATTATCACCTAGTCAAACTTTCACCATTTGCCAATTAAATCAATTGTCACTCACTGTTAATTTTGCCCTTCACATCTCATAACTAAGTAAATTATGTTATTTACTTATATAAGCTGTAATGATAAAATGGGGGNAATATATTATACTGCTTAGGCTATAACAGGTAGAAAATTATACTGTAATTGGATAATTCACTTTTGGGAATTAATTTAATACTTTGCAGTGGAAAAAATAAATAAATATGTTTTTTAACAAAGAAAAACCTAAATCATAAACCGGAGATTCCATATATTTTTATGGTAATTCTGGATTATGTATGTCTAGTTCTATTAATTCAACAAATTTCCCTTTGATAGGTTAATTACTATCAGATTTATTTAACTTTCACTAAAAAGTACCTGAACCACAACAACTTGACCTGTGGATCTAAGGTCAAATTTTAAGAACAAAAATTAAAAATTAAAAATCTGCTTTGCAAAAACTGTAAAAGTTACCCTTCCAATTTCAAAACATTACCTACCTGAGCAATCACAGAAGAAACGAGATGTAAAGTCGTCACATGGAAGAGGTGCGTTATCCTCATCGCGACACACATAGCCATTTTCTGGAGTACAAGAGCTCAAGGCAGCACTGCTGAGGTAGGATACACCATACATATCCTCACATTCGACCTTTGTGATACGTCCACCATTACATAGACTCTGGCGTTCTGCTGTGGACAGGTTCTCCACCTCGCCACCATCTCCACTGGGAACATGTTTGTTGATCCACACCGACCACTTACTCTCGTTACACAGAGGAAGGTTGGTGTTGGGCGTTACTCGTGGAGGCGGGGTCTGGATGGTTGTTGTCACATGAGAAGCACACTCGTCGCAGAAGGCTCTGATCTCGTGATCCTGACATTGTCCTGAGGGTTGCTTGTTGTTGAGACAGACAAGACCATTGTAATCAAGTCCGCACATAATGCCAACCTCACCCGTCGCATTGAACGTCATGTGTGAACCGACGGCCCGACATTCAATCTTAGTGATCTTGTTCATCTCACACGTACGGATGAGGTTCTTCATGTTATAGATTGTCTCGTACTCTCCGGTCTGGTCAGGCTTGACTGTACTGATCCAGGGTGTCCAATACAGGCAGGACGTCGGTACAGGCGTTTTCTCAACAAGACCAGGCACAAACGGCTCTAGGGTGGATGGTGAAATGAACGGCTCCATTGTCGACATCTTATTGAAGGGTTCCATTGTTGAGCCAGGGATGAATGGTTCCATGGTGGTTGGGGCCGGGGTCGGCGACAAACAGCCAACAAGATTAAAACGAAGTCCAATACCTTGGTGCCACTCCAGTGGACGAATCCTGGCAAAAATCAAATACTCATGAAATAAAGAGTTGCATCAATTTTGAACAGTGATATACAGGTAGTCAGATCTGAAAAGCATGAACATGTTTTTTTAACTGGATATAATTGGGCATTCATCTATTATTGAAGTTTGCACAAATTTAAGCTGTTTGAGGAAGGTAGTATATGCTCATTCAGCATGCTTTTAACATAAAGCTACAGGATCAAATCAAAGCACCATGGCATCAGCACATGTTTCAGAATATTATCACTAAATCAACAATGTTTCAATTGAAATTAGCCACTAATTAAATAATATATTCAAACTGAGGATCCATGTGCACTGACAAAACTGTAACTATGCATTCAACTTTTTTTCAGACATGATCATAGCAATAAGAAATCATTTCTTAAAAAAACACACCCTTACCACATTTTTATGAACCAATTCACAAAGATGAAAATTGATAAACAAAAAATTATCAATAGCAGTGTACTGAGTGTAAATATACAATAAGACAAGACCAGGATTTTAACCTCTGGGGCCATCCATCATATTATTGTGACTTAAACCAAGTCAGCGATAGTACCAGGCCCAGTCGTACTAAACTTATACACAAAATAAACTTAAGGGGAGGTTATTTCAGTAGAACTTAATAGTGTTTTGAAATATACAACAGGGTTAGACTCGAATTTAAACCCTGGACCATCCATCATAAAAATGTATTACTTTGGCTTTATTCCAGTAAACTACTAAATCAACAATAGTACCAGGTCTGGCCCAGTCATGCTACAGTTATATACAAAATGAAGTTAAGGGGAGGTTACTTCAGTGGTATTTAATAGTGTTTTGCCCTCATTGGAACAGAGATCCTTAAAATCAAAAGTAATAATGCATTATTTCTAACCTGATGTATCGGGCGTAGATCATAGGGAACGTATTGGTGATGGGAGTGTTCTGATCGGTGTTACCGGAGATCACCAATGGGGACTTGTCGGTCATGGAGGCTGTCACAGGCAGGAAGTTCTTTCCATCGCGACTGTAGTACACCTCATACTTGGTAACCCAGAATTTCCTGTCTTGCTGGCCCTGGCTCATGATTCCCGCGATGTGATACGGGGCTAGGAAGTCAACCTGGATGTACTGTCGGTCATTCTTGACACTGAAAATAGATAACGTTTTAGTACTCAAGGTCAACCAAATTTGTACTGTATACAGGAATATTTTCGCCAGTTTAACTTTGTCCTTTTTCACCCTCTGTAATGCAGGCAGATTTTTAAAATTCCAACATTAATAAACACAGCAATCAAATGTGAAGTACAAAGCTAACTCTGGGCAAATACAGATTGTATCAGCATAGGGCGAAAGTTCCCGAACATACAATGTTTCTTCAGATATAAGTTTAGTATTTAGAAAGGCAGTAAAATGTTTTGAAAACACTTTAAGCAAAATTGCTTCTCTCCAGGGCTAAATTATGACAAGCCTGATTCTTAACTCTTTCACCACTGTAGACCATGATGAACTCATCTAGATCAATGCATGGTAGGGTCTACTAAAGTTACATAGGGGTGAAAGGGTAAACAAGTGTTCAAAAAATGAATTCAAAATTAGAAATTTGGGAAACGTCTGAAGATTTTTGAATATTCATGTATTTTGTCTATAGGACATTTAAAATCTTTGTAGGTAAAGTTTTAGTCTTGTAAGTCCATATTTTATTAATTGTCCCAGATTTATTGTTATAAAGCTAACCAGGTTAAAAAGAACTTGGCCCTGATGTAATGTTTTATGAATCAGTGAATCAGTTCCCAGGTTAGAAGAATTTAGGCAAATTACTAAGGTTAATAATGATATATCATGCTACAATATAACAATTCCTAAACTTTTATGTTACACGTACGCAGGTATCCATCCACCTCCATAGCTGCCGTCCTTCTGCGTGTAAATACGGCCACGGCTAGCTGAGTGGAAGCGGTCAAGGTAACTGGAAGCTGACAACTGGAAGTCCTTGACAATTTGTCGGTCAGCCATGCCCATGGGCACATCACAAACTGCAACGAAGGAAGTTTATATAATTAAGAAAGTCTGCATTACAAAATAGCTTATCACACCATATATGTAAAAGGGTATGGGGTTTGTTCTATTTTCCTATGATGTTTTACAACATATGTTTCAGCTTTTATCCTCAGGTAAACCAAAACAAGAGGTCCATTGGGCTTTTATTGCTTGCATTTATTCATTTAAGATTTTTTATGGTCATGAAATAATTCTTTACAGCTAATTTCATCAAGTTTATATGCATATGGGGTTTGGGCTTGGTTTTCTTTACCATAACATATTACAACAGTCACTGCTTCTATACCACGCTACCTCAGGTGAACCATAACATGTAGTCTCAGCAATAAAAGTGGAATTTAAGATTCTACTGTTGAAATCGTAACATGTTGCAGCTGCTGTGACTTTAGTTACCTGTGTTTGGTGCAACAGTGGGAAGGGTAGTGACACCAGGTGCAGGAGTCGCTGTGGGCACCCCTCCTTGTCCTGGGAGAGGCATGGCAGTTGGTTTGTTGGTTGCCCCTGGAATAGGAGTTGGCAGAGCAGGAGTATCTGGAGTACAGCCTAGAATGTTCAGTCTCAGGGCAGGACTTGAGCCTTGGAAATGCAGCGGGTAGATCCTAATGAACTGTGTGGTGATGTTACGGTTGAAGAGCTGTCGGACCGGAGTTGAACTGTCAGTGTTACCATTGAACACCTTGGCAACAGGGGAGCCTGGTACATCGCTGTAGGGGGTAAACACCTTCCCATCTAGGGAGGTGGTAATCTTGTAATCCTTTACCCACTGCTGCAAGAGATGACCGCCCATTGTGATGACGCCAGACAACAACTTAGGCTTCTTGAAGTCAACTTGGATCCAAGGTGCACTGTCTGTAGCACTGTAACAACATCAAAAAATTGAGTTTTGCAAGTGAAATCAGAGATGAAAATGGGCTTATGGACAAAAAGGCTGGAAGTTCAATCCTTTTGATGGGAAATCGGAAGTTTGGATAACACTAAAACCTGAACAAAGGCTCAAATCGTAAACTTTTTTTATCTCTTCAAAAATTAAGGAAAATGTTATGTAAGAATGTATTCTTATTTCTGATGAAGAGTTATCAGTTAAAATTACTTTTGGTATCAATGTACAGTGAAATCTGTCTTTAAGAACATAAAAAGGACTGAATCAATCGATTGGCTATCACAGTGTCCATATAAACCGAGGTTACAGGTACAGAAATTAAATCTTCATTAGCCACAAACTCATATCAGACAGTACAGGTCGTTATTTAAGTCAGGTGATGATAAAGTCATGTTTTTACTTTATATATATAACAGGATGTCCTTAACTCATTCACCCCTGAAATTTCATAATGAACTATTCCAACCTTTTAATTGGAAGAGTTCAAATGTGTCTTCAGGGTGAATGAGTTAAAGTTACGTGTCTGTCAAGGCAGTTTTCACTATACATGTATATTACAAGATGTCTTAGAAGTCTGACGATGGTAAAGTTGGGTTTTGCTGTAGATACTCTGAAAACCAGCCCCTGCACTACATGTAAGCCTGCATAAATGAGACCTTAACTAGGTAACTCTGTAGAGAGCTCTGAACTTCAGTAATCACAAAACCCATTTTCACTCAAAAGAAAGACCGGTCACATGGATGATTGGTTTAGACAAGTAACAGAAGCATTGGTTTTGTTGGTGATAATTTGAAAGGTTTTTACTGTATACTAAGGCAAAATACAATTAAAAAATCTTGTATTTCCGCTAACCATACCTACCCTAGATTTTTGTGCCTGCCCTGAAGTTTGTATTGGCATTTCGTGATATATACACTGTTAAAGTCAGAACTCCTGCTCTATATGCGGTAAGCATAGTAAAAATATTTTCCAAAATATTTTATTTTTACCTACCTACCCAATTTTTTTCTGAGGATGATAAAACTCTGAGGAAAAAACTCCAGACATTTTTGGGATATTACTTAGATTATATTATGCATTCACATCTAACTTAAAACCGGGTATGAGGAATACATACCTCGGTATCCAGGCAGTTTGTGAGAAGATTCGGCCCATGCTGGGGCTATGGTTGTTATCCTTGGAGGAGGAGGCGGACAGCTGACTGTTGCTCACCACATAGTGATTCTGCAGGCCCATAGTGGACAGGCAAACTGATGAGAGCCGCAAAGAAATATTTCAGTAATGATGAACAATTTTAAAGTAAACAGATCACTTAGGAAAGGTCCTAACAACCTGTCTATAGTACCCGGTATGCATTCTCCTTTATAATACCATACAACACTTGATGATTAGATGTTTCCCTTAATAGGCTTCAAAACATTATCCAAGGCAGAACCGGTAAAGGATAATTTGATTGGGATTTTAATGCTTCACAAGAATAATAATGGTCATAAATGTTAATAGTTAATGATTCTAATTATTTACTGTACAGTTTATTCATAAAACTTACAAACAGTACTGTTGTTATTTCAAGCATGTTTTCATTCATCTCTGTTTTATGTCTTTACATCTAAAAATGTACTATATACAATTATTTGTCTTTATCTGTGATATCTTAATCAATCTTAATCATGCTTAAAACTTCAGAGTCCAATCCAACTTTTAACCTTCACTGTTTAAAACAGCATTACTGTCCCTCTTCCCATGTAATGACTACATATAGTATGTTGGGATACAATATATATAGAGAGAGAGAGACTATGTATAACATATACAACATGTGACTATCTCTCAACATATATGAGTGTTGTGGTTGTCATCCTTACCCTTTGGTGGTGCCTCAAATTTGCCAATTGGTGGGGCAGCCGTGGGAGCTGAATGACCTGGGGCAAGGGGCATGGCAGTGGGCTTGCTGTATGATCCTGCATTTGGGGCTGCAGTGGGCTTGGCAGCACCTCCCAGACTTGGTGCAGCTGTTGGGACACCCTGGCTGCCAGGCAACGGAGCAAGTGTAGGTCGAGGAGCTGATGGATTACAGCCCATGATGTTGAACTTAATGGCGGGCAGTCCGTAATATTCAATTGGTGTGATCCTCACATACTGGGCAACAATTTTCCTGTTGAAGAGGTAGGTGACTGGAGTGTAGCTGTTTTTGTCTCCGGGGAAATGTTTAGCATTCGTATCATTCCCGTGATCCTTGTATGGTACATACGTGTTTCCATCCAAACTTGTTGATACAGTGAAGGATGTGACCCACAGTGGAAGCTTGCCTTGACCTTGAACTACAACCCCAGTTATAGATTTGGCCTCTAGGAAGTTCACGTCAATGTGTGGATTCTTATCAGAAAGTCTGAAACAATTGGTTTTAGATAATAAGCAATTTGCTTAAATTTTTTAAAAGTTAAAGAAATATTGAATATATTTAATATGTTTTGATGGATTTATTAATTGAATGAAACTAACACAACTGTTTTTAGGCGTAGTAAAGTCTCTGAAAGGTTTACTATTAACATGTTATCTGGGAAGTCAAATAACTCAATGTATACTACCTAGGTATCCAAGCATTTCCTTTGCCGTCACCATAGAGACGACCTTGGGTGGCATTGTTCTTAGGACTCTTGGAGGATGAGGCAGAGATCTGGCTGTCACCTACAATGAGGCTGTTCTCCAGTCCCATAGGTATAGCACACACTACAACACAAAATATATTTTATTGTTTTAATGGTAAAAAACACACTACAACACAAGACATATTCTATTGTTTTAATGGTAAAAAACACTGCAACACAACACATCCTACAGATTCAAAGGTAAAATGCACACAACATATCATATTGCCTCAATGGTAAAATACTCACTAAAATACACTGTACTGTCTCAATGGACAAATACACTGTACAACACAATATATATATATATATAACTGACTTAATGATTTCCAAGTAAAAATATTGCGTTAACGAGGGTACTTTTACTAATGTTTTATGAAAATATCATAAAATATTACACTGAATTGGTGTTTATCTTCATAATTTGGCAGTAAAAGGGTAAACAGGTCTTTCTTTTATTTCTTTAAATTCATGGTGTTAATATTTACTGTCTCATATTTTCGCGCTACCTTTGGTGACCCGAATATAGCGAAATAAAATCTGCCCGTAAATATTAGCAACTATACAGTACTTATAGGGTGTTTCTCAGAGTGAAAAGACATACCTGGTTCCAAGGTAGTAATTGGTACTGGCGTGATTTGGGGTTTGCTGGTGACTTTCCCTGGAGCTGGAGTTGCACTGGAGAAACAACCCAAGAAGTTCAGTCTCATTGCAACTCCTCCAGCAGCAGCGTCAACAGGAATAATACGAATGAACCTGGCTGTGATTTGGTGGTCGAGTTGATTGATGACCCTGTTGCTTCCGTCAGTGTTGCCGTAGAACACTTTTGGCATTCCTGTTGCATCAGTGGAGTAAGGACGATAGCTGATGCCATCCTGACTTGTAGAGATGATAAACTTGGTCACCCATTTGGATTCTATTGGACTCCCCTGGGTGATCACTGCAGTAATAACCTCCGGGGTGAGGAAATCTACCTGTATCCAGTCTCGCTTGTAGCCACTCCTTACATGCAAAATAAATGCTCGGTTTCATGTTTGTGTGTAAACACAATGTATTAAAATTAATAAAAGCATTGTTAATTTTTAAAATCATGAGGAGAGGGTAATATTGAAAATATTATTCTGCATAATGGTAGATCATTATGCACATTTATCAAATGCTGGTGGCTTAAGAGCAGAAAGTTCATGTTTCCTTTGTTTCACTGATTGGTCCAGAATATTGGTTAAAAGATTGAGAACAATTTTTACAGAAGCTGAGATTAAATTAAAGACAAATATATGAAAAAAACATGTTTCCTTCCTTTTTCTTCAAATATTGTGATTACTGTGTTTGCCATAATTAGCACCCAGGGCTTATAAAATCAGCTTAAATCAGGGCACTTATTAGGATGATAAAATGTGAGTTATCATAGAACAAGTTGTGTTACTACAGTATAACAGAAGGACATTATAAACATCCCAGTGTGACTGGAGGTTGGATATCAAATGTTTCATCACTTCACAGGAAATTCAGCCATGATCACCAGACATAAATCTCTGCTTTAAAAGTATAAGTACTGTCAATCATTGATCAGGCCGGGTAAGGTCTGGAATGGGGAGGGGGATTATAGAATTACAATTCTTCCTGAAAAAGGGATTGGGCACTTATAGAGGGAGGGGTGCTAATTATGAAAAATATGGTATATGGTCACTGGTATAGATTTATTCTAATGGTACTCACTCTTATAACAGTTACAGAGATATCATTGTACTCACTTGGGTACCCAGGCTCCAAACTCATTGTACAATCTGCCAAAAGATGCTGCAGACAGCAAATCCCGGGAAGATGATGCTGTCATCTGGGTATCCTGGACAATCATGCTGTTGTCAACACCCATTGGTTCAATACAGGGAGCTATGGAAACAATCCGTTACAAAACTATAGGATTGATAGCAACATATCTTCATTCATTTCTGTTTTGTCCTAAAAAATCATTTTTGACCAGCATCAATAGTACGAAGTAAGTGTCCAATAAATATATCATTTTTAATGATTTTTAAGTTAACTTAAACAAACTCATTATCTGATTTTATAACTTTCAAAACTTCTTTATCCAAAATAATAATAATACCTTTAGTTGTTGGTTTTCCATCAGGACCTAGACCTGGTTCAGCAGTGGGCTGACCATTGGGTCCTAATCCTGGTCCAGCTGTTGGTTTTCCATCAGGTCCTAATCCTGGACCAGCTGTGGGTTGACCATTGGTTCCAAATCCTGGACCAGCTGTGGGCTGACCATTGGGTCCTGATCCCGGACCAGCTGTTGGTTTTCCATCAGGTCCTAATCCTGGACCAGCTGTGGGTTGACCATTGGGTCCTAATCCTGGACCAGCAGTGGGTTTTCCATCAGGTCCTAATCCTGGTCCAGCTGTTGGCTGACCATTAGGTCCTAATCCTGGACCAGCGGTGGGCTGACCATTTGGTCCTAATCCTGGACCAGCAGTGGGTTTTCCATCAGGTCCTAATCCTGGTCCAGCTGTGGGCTGACCATTGGTTCCTAATCCTGGACCAGCTGTGGGCTGACCATTGGGTCCTAATCCTGGACCAGCTGTGGGCTGACCATTTGGTCCTAATCCTGGACCAGCAGTGGGTTTTCCATCAGGTCCTAGTCCTGGACCAGCTGTGGGTTGACCATTGGGTCCTAATCCTGGACCAGCTGTGGGCTGACCATCAGGTCCTAATCCTGGACCAGCTGTGGGCTGACCATCAGGTCCTAATCCTGGACCAGCTGTGGGTTGACCATTGGGTCCTAATCCTGGACCAGCTGTTGGTTTTCCATCAGGTCCTAGACCTGGCCCTGCTGTTGGCTGACCATTTGGTCCTAATCCTGGACCCGCTGTGGGCTGACCATCAGGTCCTAATCCTGGACCAGCTGTGGGCTGACAATCAGGTCCTAATCCTGGACCAGCTGTGGGCTGACAATCAGGTCCTAATCCTGGACCAGCTGTGGGCTGACCATAGGTTCCTAATCCTGGACCAGCTGTGGGCTGACCATTGGTTCCTAATCCGGGACCAGCTGTGGGCTGACCATTGGGTCCTAATCCTGGTCCAGCTGTGGGCTGACCATTGGTTCCTAATCCGGGACCAGCTGTGGGCTGACCATTGGGTCCTAATCCTGGACCAGCTGTTGGTTTTCCATCAGGTCCTAATCCTGGACCAGCGGTGGGCTGACCATTCGGTCCTAATCCTGGACCAGCTGTTGGTTTTCCATCAGGTCCTAGACCTGGACCTGCTGTTGGCTGACCATTTGGTCCTAATCCTGGACCAGCTGTGGGCTGACCATCAGGTCCTAATCCTGGACAAGCTGTTGGTTTTCCATCAGGTCCTAATCCTGGACCAGCTGTGGGCTGACCATTGGTTCCTAATCCTGGACCAGCTGTGGGCTGACCATTGGGTCTTAATCCTGGACCAGCTGTTGGTTTTCCATCAGGTCCTAGTCCTGGACCGGCTGTTGGCTGACCATTGGGTCCTAATCCTGGACCAGCTGTTGGCTGACCATTTGGTCCTAATCCTGGACCAGCTGTGGGCTGACCATCAGGTCCTAATCCTGGACCAGCTGTTGGCTGACCATTTGGTCCTAATCCTGGACCAGCTGTTGGTTTTCCATCAGGTCCTAATCCTGGACCAGCGGGGGGCGGACCATTTGGTCCTAATCCTGGACCAGCTGTTGGGTTTCCATCGGGTCCTAGTCCTGGACCGGCTGTTGGCTGCCCATTGGGTCCCAATCCTGGACCAGCTGTGGGCTGACCATCAGGTCCTAATCCTGGACCAGCTGTTGGCTGACCATTTGGTCCTAATCCTGGACCAGCTGTTGGTTTTCCATCGGGTCCTAGTCCTGGACCGGCTGTTGGCTGACCATTGGGTCCCAATCCTGGACCAGCTGTGGGCTGACCATCAGGTCCTAATCCTGGACCAGCTGTGGGCTGACCATTGGTTCCTAATCCTGGACCAGCTGTGGGTTGACCATTTGGTCCCAATCCTGGACCAGCTGTTGGCTGACCATTGGGTCCTAGTCCTGGGCCAGCTGTTGGTTTTCCATCAGGTCCTAATCCTGGACCAGCTGTGGGCTGACCATTGGGTCCTAATCCTGGACCAGCAGTGGGTTTTCCATCAGGTCCTAATCCTGGACCAGCTGTTGGTTTTCCATCAGGTCCTAATCCTGGACCAGCTGTGGGCTGACCATTGGGTCCTAATCCTGGACCAGCAGTGGGTTTTCCATCAGGTCCTAATCCTGCACCAGGTAGTGTTGGTTTTCCATCAGGTCCTAGTCCTGGACCAGCTGTTGGCTGACCATTGGGTACTAATCCTGGACCTGCTGTTGGCTGACCATTGGGTCCTAATCCTGGACCAGCTGTGGGCTGACCATTGGGTCCTAATACTGGACCAGCTGTAGGCTGACCATTTGGTCCTACTCCTGGGGTTACTGTTAATTTCAAAATTGTTAACAATTGAAATGGTACTAAATCAGGTATTTATGTTAAATGATATGGACAAATTTTATATTAAGATTCTTTTATGTATTTGTTCTTCATCAAGAATTGTTATGGAAGTGTTTTAATTGAAAGATTAGTTGCCTGTAAAAGGGAATTAAAGAGGTAAGTTTACCTATATTTGATATGTATAGATCACGCTTAACACTGTTACAAATCTCAATTCTGTCAAATATGGTAAGCACATAGTTATTGCCAATGGATACTTGCAAGATTTTTTTAATTTGTGTACCCTTGCAACAAAAATGTCAAACACAAAACAATTTTGTTCACAATCATCTTTCAATATAGAATTTACACTAATATGGTATTAAATTTAACTTGTGTACGTAGCTAAATTATACAGAACTAATTGTCCCTGGCAAAATTCTGAATCTATACTTAAACCTTAGAAAAGACCAGGTACCTGTAGAAGCTGATAGCAAGGGTTTATAGCAGCTGAGAACATCAAATCGAAGGGACACGCCAACTTGCCACTCGCGGGGTTGAATGCGCACAAAGTTTGTGAGAACTTCTCTATCAAATCTAGCGAAGACAGGAGTATTCTGGTCATGACTGCCGACAAATATCATCTCCTCTGCAACACCAGTCTCGTGATACGGGCTGAAGGTCACTCCATCGTCACTGACGAGCACAACATACTTGGTGACCCACTGTGGTGCGAGGGGATTACCCTGGATGACCACACCAGAGATTCGTGTAGGTTGTTTCAGGTTGACTTGTACAAACTGCTGGTCGTCATTATATCTACAATAATAATGTTTATATATAAACTTTATTTCTTTTACCACAATCATGAATCATTTTTTTTTAACTTATATTTATGAATCTTTTAGGTCATAATGGAAGCATGCGGGGGTCTGAATGTTGGAGAAACCTGGAGTACCAGAAGAAAACCCATGTAGTTAGGTAGGTGCCTGGGTCAAAAAAGACCTACCTTGCAACCCATGCAGCATTTCCCTTGAGTCTGGCCATGTTAGCGTCCGTGGAAGCACCGTTAGATGATGAAGAATCCAGCTGGTCGTTGGTAACTAGGACTGGACTGGACACTCCAAGCTCATTATCACATCCTTACAGAGAATCACAGACATATCATTATGTAACTCAACATATACATACAGTGATTTACCCTTTATAAGCCAATAGACATTAAAAGGGTCCAAAATTACTTTTTGGCTTGATTCTTCACAGATTTGACCCTATCTAAGCTTTGCAAGAAGTGTCAGTTTTCATATATAAAGTAAAAGACATAAACAAGCGACCAAGATTAAACTAGGTGAATGCTTACCCAATCTATTTTTTCCCAGTCAGATGGGATCATTTTGTGTATCAGTATATATGAGTTGAAAACAATGCTTAAAATCCCATATCACCCCAAAAAACATATTGGAAACTGTGTTTTCCACTATGATGATAACTTTGATAAATCATTTCTGAAAAGAAAACCAGACCTTACAGGGCTTTTATGAAAAGAATAATAAAGATGAAATAAACAAAATTTTATGAACAAGGGTGTTCTGAGTGTGAAGATTCAGTGGGTCTAGACTGATATTCAAACCCTGGAGTGAAGATTTGTTATACAATTGCTCTAACTGAGCTACTCTGACCCAACTACAGTTAGAGCTATGGTATGGAAATTAAGGGGAGATAACTGTATATACAAAAACCACAGTGCAGTAGGACAGGGATCATTTGAAGGAAAATCATTCCTCAGTTATGGCTGAAATCTCCCAAAGTAAAATAGAATTTTAATAGAAATAAAAAAAGTACAAAGTTAAAAGCGTTATTTTGCATACCATTTATTCTGACAGTGTGTTGTCAATAAGAGCCCGTATCTAGGGATTTTTCACCAGGTACTCTACCATTTGGAAATGGCTTCATCTGTTATCAGCTACAGTGTACATTTTGAATTCACTACAAAATACATCCTCCTTTTATTGAACCATCCCACTACCTCTCCCCTTCTAAATCATATCAACAATATGTTTTGCCATTACATGACCAAATCTTTAAACCATGTGTAACTGTTTCAGATCGTAGTACATGACTTGTATAGTACCTAATATAAATACACAAAGCAAATCGTGTCATCCTATTCACTTTTAAAAATATACAGAAATAAATGTGAAAGAAGCTTTATTCAATTCAACATTTGTTTTTCTAATAGTCTAAATTGTGAGAATCAAATGATTTATAAAACAATAAAAAAAATCTAGGAGTGACAAACATATCTTAAACTTTCAACTTACCTCCATTAGTTGGGGTATAATGACCATGTGTGGTCGTAAGGGGTATATATGTGGTCTTGCCAAGAAGTGGATTTGGTGTCAATCCTGGTATAGGCTTTCCATCAGGTCCTAATCCTGGACCAGCTGTGGGCTGACCATTGGGTCCCAATCCTGGACCTGCTGTGGGTTTTCCATCAGGTCCTAATCCTGGACCTGTTGGTTTTCCATCAGGTCCTAATTCTGGACCAGCTGTGGGTTTTCCATTGGGTCCTAGTCCTGTGCCAGCTGTTGGTTTTCCATCAGGTACTAATCCTGGACCAGCTGTGGCCTGACCATTGGGTCCTAATCCTGTACCAGCTGTGGGTTTTCCATTAGGTCCTAATCCTGGACCAGCGGTGGGCTGACCATTTGGTCCTAATCCTGGACCAGCGGTGGGCTGACCATTGGGTCCTAATACTGGACCAGCTGTGGGCTGACCATTGGGTCACAATCCTGGACCTGCTGTGGGGTTCCCGTCAGGTCCTAATCCTGTACCAGCTGTGGGTTTTCCATTAGGTCCTAATCCTGGACCAGCTGTGGGCTGACCATTGGGTCCTAATCCTGGACCAGCTGTGGGCTGGCCATTGGTTCCTAATCCTGGACCTGCTGTGGGTTTCCCGTCAGGTCCTAATCCTGGACCAGCTGTGGGCTGACCATTGGGTCCTAATCCGGGCCCAGCTGTGGGCTGACCATTGGGTCCTAATCCTGGACCAGCTGTGGGTTTTCCATTGGGTCCTAGTCCTGGGCCAGCTGTTGGTTTTCCATCAGGTCCTAATCCTGGACCAGCTGTGGGCCGACCATTGGATCCTAATCCTGGGCCAGCTGTTGGCTGGCCATTCAATCCTAATCCTGGACCAGCTGTGGGCTGACCATTGGGTCCTAGTCCCGGACCAGCTGTTGGTTGACCATTGGGTCCTAGTCCTGGACCTGCTGTAGGCTGACCATTTTGTCCTAATCCTGGTCCAGCTGTGGGTTTTCCATCGGGTCCTAATCCTGGTCCAGCTGTGGGTTTTCCATCGGGTCCTAATCCTGGTCCTGCTGTGGGTTTTCCATCTGTTCCTAATCCTGGACCAGCTGTAGGCTGACCATTTGGTCCTAATTCTGGTCCAGCTGTAGGTTGACCATTTGGTCCTAATCCTGGTCCAGCTGTAGGCTGACCATTTTGTCCTAAACCTGGTCCAGCTGTTGGCTGGCCATTGGTTCCTAGACCTGGTTTTGCTGTTGGATGACAGGCATCATTACAATAGACTCGCACCTCATAGTCCAGGCAAGCTGCAGTGTTCTGGTTGATGTCCTCACATACCAAACCACGGTTGATGTCACAGGATACACCCATCTGACCAGCCTGGTTTAATGGAGTTTGTTGGCCAGAGACACGACATTCTATTTTTGACGGGAATTCACAGAAAGAGTAAGCCAAGCGGAGGTTACTCATTGTTTCATAGTCACCTTTGCTTGAGGCGGTTTTCATGTAGCTGTTCATCCACAGTGACCATTCACAGGCTGGCTGGAGAGGATAAGGTACACCTGGCATAGGGGTTGGCAAGACTGGCTTTCCATCGGGACCAATAACAGGTGCAGCTGTGGGTTTGCCATTGGGTCCTAATCCTGGTCCAGCTGTGGGCTGGCCATTGGGTCCTAATCCTGGTCCAGCAGTGGGTTTGCCATTGGGTCCCAATCCTGGTCCAGCTGTGGGCTGACCATTGGGTCCCAATCCTGGACCAGCTGTAGGCTGACCAATTGGTCCTAATCCTGGACCAGCTGTTGGCTGACCATTGGGTCCTAGTTCTGGTCCAGCTGTCGGCTGACCATTGGGTCCTAACCCTGGGGCTGCTGTTGGAGCTGAAATAAAGTATCACAGCTATTAAACGAGATATAGCTTTTATTTTAAACATGTTTGTTATCACATTTTATTTGAAATCTATTAATTGTTATTACCAATTTTTGTTTTTTAACAGAGTTTCTAACTACCTGTTAAGTTGGTCCCTATATAAACTAAGTACCACAAGGAAGGTAGATAGTTTGTATAGAGAATACTTAAAACTATTGCTGAAAGGAATGAAAACTAAGAAAATTGCTGTGAATGATATACTGTACTCATATATACATTAAGTTAAAATTCTTTATTGTTAAAATGTAAAGGTAATAAACCATTAGGGTATCTACTTGGAAGTATCCTTTCGTGATAAGTAAGGTGACAATGAGTCAACTAATTAATAACCTACTTGTATAGTAATTAGGACGAGATAAACATTTGTACAGGGCCAGAACAGGCTCCTGTGCCAGTACACCCATAACAGACTTACTAGTATTAAGAAGAAACAAGACTGGGGGACAGGGACTGATTATCAAAATAGAGTTTGGATAAGTCAAAGCTCAATTACTACGGTTCCAGAATGATTTAGCAGGGACCAATCATTTGGGAAAATTAAGACAAAGATCAGAATTGGCTAGAGTGATTTGATATAAAGATCACTGTACAAATGATTTAAAGTTGCAAAGGTCAATAAATTAGAAATTCGCATCACATATTCAACTGACACTGAAAATTCATTGATCATACATAATGTGATCTACTCTAATTAAGAGTAAATGATTATTTCTCGGAATATATCTTAAAATTACAATAAATTAAATTTAAATAGTGTACTTTGACATTTTTCACATCTTACATATGACTTCATTTTCTTCCTTACTCACCACAATCACAGTTATATCGAACTTCGTAGTCATAGCAGATTTCGCCATTGCGTTGGTATGCATTGTTACACACCAGCCCTTTAGCCAGATTACAGGTGGCGCGTTGTCCGGCCTGGCCAGCCATTGTGTTTGTACCAATGACTCGACACTGGATCTCTGTGATCATGCTATCATCACAGAATGTATACTTCTCTCTCAGTCCTTCCATTGTTTCCACATCCCCTCGGTTGAATGCTGTGGGCACAGCAATGCTCATCCAGCTTGTCCAGCCATTTGCCACACACACAGGCGGTAGAACGGTCGGACCAGGTGGTAAGGTTGTGAAGCCTCCATCTTGGTGTGGTTTAGTGTATCCGGGACCAGCTGTTGGGTTGTTATGGCTACCAGGCTGTGGGTGGCGAGTTGGTTTTCCGCCCTGACCTGAGCTAGGACCAGCCGTAGGGCGGCCATCGGGACCAAGCACTGGACCAGGAGTTGGGTTGCCACTATGTACTGTAGATGGCCCGAGTGTTGTACTACAGTAGCCGTTTCTCTTGATCTTACCGTTGTCACAGTAACTGGAGATAAATGATATTGCCTGGTATGTTTAATGACGAAACTATGAAGGGGATTTAAATCAACTAGGTTCCATTTCATCTTGATTTACATGAAATAGTTGGATATCCAATGCCATTAAAAGACTTTTACAATGTTTTATTGTTTTGGTTACCTGATACTGAAATTCTACTCAAGGGTGTAGAATTTGGGATCAAAATTAAACATTCTGGTGTCCCGATACCAAATTCTACACCCAATGACGGAATTCCCCTATCTTCATACACATACAGATTGTGATAATGGTAAACTATGAGTAGATTTAATTGTGAAAATGCGAATAAAACCTGGACCTCAGAGGACAGAGATATCCTTACACTTGAATGTGACTGCTGTGTGCTGTGGGATAGCTGTCACTTTAACATTTAAAAGTATGGGAGAAACTTGTGTCTTAATAGGTTGTACACAACATGCCAGATGTATTCTTTTGCCATTGACTTCATATAAGAACGTCAACGTCATATATAAAGTGATAATGTTAATTCCTCAAAAAGGACAATCACAAATCAATTATTCTTGTATTCTGTGTTTTAAATATTGAAATAAATAAATGTAAATGTATTGGAACATCAACACAATTATTGGGCGAGGAGATCTATCATCCTGTGGGCAGTGGTAGGTTGAGGTACTGGTGGAGGAATCTGTGGTGGATACCGAAGTACTCTAGTAGAACCCGCCCAAAGGTTAAAACAAGTAGGTAAGTGACGGAGCCTCAACACCAAAGATTCTGTAAATGTAAGTTTTATTAATTTACATGTTTCAGATGGCTAGGCCAACTGTCATCAGAACCCTGACGATGGTTGGGATAACAGTTGGCCTAGCCATCCGAAATATGTAAACTAGTAAAAGACTTACGTTTACGGTATCCGTGGTGTTGATGCTCAATCACTTACCTATTGTATGTTTACAGTAGAAAAATTTGAATGGTAAACGAACAAGTAAATAAGAATCTTAAAAATCCTAAAAAAGTTCTGTTTTTGTCCTGCACTATAATTACCATATCTCGCAGTCAGCCTGGCAGACGGAGCCGTCAGTGATGCGTTCGTTTTGACGGTATTCCTTCCCATTGACAGTGCAGACAGTTGTGTTACAGAAGGGCTCTGGGATACACTTCATTGGTTTAGTTGAGCTGTCGTACACTTGTCCAGATGGACATGGTGCTATATCACATCCTTCTACACAGCTCTGCTCCTGACAGCCGGATGTGACAGTGTCGTAGACCAAGTGGTTGTCACAGGTACGTTTTGGGCACAGGGAAATGCAAGGGTTGTAAGTTTCACAATCCTCACACTGGATGGCTGAAAGACAAAAATACAGTAAAATGTCATTGCCCGGTAAATCTTAACAATTTCTTAAAACTGATAAATCTTTATGACAGAGGGAGTGAATTTTTTTTTTAATACTTTGTAACTATTTCACAGAACACAAATTTCATAAGAGAAATATCACTCACCTTATTCCTTAGTCTCTCATAGATACACATTATAAAACAGTCAGGTACATCTATACTATCTATAAAATAATGTTTAACAGTACTTTGGCACAATCATGTTTAACATGTTTTACAAAATTTTCTTAAATTCCGTCACTTTTGTCTAACTCTTTCCAGTATTATAAATATTGGAACAACTTACAACGCATTCAAAATTATCACCTCTCAATATCTGAAAGAACTTAAGGAAATAGTTTTCAAGAAATTATTTGGTTTGTTTTGATAACTCCACTGTCATTCTGTGTCAGGCGTAACTATACATATATTAAATTTAATGTATTTTAAAGATCTTTATGTGTAAATGTGTCAGGGCTAGAAATTAATTTCCGCCAAAAAGTGCACTTGTCAATCAGGTTAGTAGATTCCCCTTTTGCTATTCCATTTGCAAATTCCACCAACCCAATAGTATTCAGCATAATAAGTAATATCAAATTTGACAAGTAAATTTGGCAAGTGGTTTTCAGAAGATTTCACTAGACTCAGCCTACAGGGCTATTCTTAATGTCTACTCCTGAATGTATATCAACTTATTTGTTAAAGATTTATCTTGGGTTCGGTTTTGACAGGCACACATACCACAGTGTTCTTCTGTTCTCCATTTGATAGGTAGGCCACTAATAGCACACTGGTGAGCGTAGGCAGAGATGGCAGTACACAGACACTCACAGTCGCCTCCCAGGTCACAGGCGCACGTGTCAAAGATACACCTGTCAACAAAAGGAACTGCTCGTCATACAGGCACTCAACTGTTGTTGTTCCTCAACTCATTCATCCCTGAAATTTCATAATGAACTATTCCAACCTTTGAATTGGAAGAGTTCAAATGTGTCTTTAGGGGTGAATGAGTTAACATGCCAGTATAAATTGGAATGAAATTTCAGTTTCTGCAAATCATACAACATAGGAAATTAATAGCAAAGTTGGACCATGACTACTAGACCTGAAATCTGCAGCAAAACACTTCTGTGAAATATTAATAAAGTATAATAAAAAATAAAATAAAAAAATAGTGACATAAACAAACTCATGTGACAAACAGAAGTCCCAATTACACTGAACCATGTTTTTATTTGGTTGGTTTACATATTGAGCATGCAAAGAAAACATCATAACATGTACATAAATGTCTATCTTAAATACTGTAAACATTACAGGTAACAGATACACATATCTTAAAGAACACCTGCGATCCATTATATCATCTAATTATAGTAACACGTAGTAATCACTGTATTGTTATATTCAGTTATAAAACAACTCTTTCCTAAAAATGCAACAATTTCTATCATGTGTTACAATAACAATGTGTTATCAAAATTTAACTTAATGTGGCATTACAAGAATGTGCACACTAACAATATATATACAACAGAAAACAATATAAAGAAACTTCAATTCAATTAATCATAATTAAGCAAAATATTTAAAGTTTGAAAAGTGCTAAAATATTAATACAGGCAAAATATGTTTCTCTACATGTATATACCTGTCTAAGTATTCCTGTACAGGGATGAGATGATGGCAGGGTTTAAAGACGTGTGATTGCAGTATGCTGCATTTTCGCTGTGCCCAAGGTTTGCGGTGTGGAGCAGCCTCACAGGTGTCAGTTATCTCCCCTGGAGCAGCACAGGCCTGGCGAACCTTCCAGCTGTCAGCAAAGGTAGTTACCTTCACTGCTGGGGGTCCACCCTGGGGCATAGTAAAATCATCCAACTGGTCTCCGTTGAAGTTTCCGCACAGACCAACAACCTGTGGTATGATATTACATGAAGTTACTGTGTGTTAAATTATGATATGGCCCTCACTATTCCACAGCTAACAATCTTAAAAATGGAAAATAACAATGTACCATCACTTTCTTCAAATCTGGATGAAAATTTCCTTGTCAAAACTACAAGATAAAGGTTGAGCTTGTTGGGTAAGCCGGGAGTTTTTGCACTTCAAATAATAACAAACTCACAACTTCGGAAGCTACCTGCAATGAATTTCTGATACTATTTCCATTTATCCAAGTAAAAAACTTGGGTTTTTTTTATATATTATTGACATGTGTCAATTCTTATTTCTCATCTTGTTTCATGGAAAAAGAAATTAAATGTTCAAAATTCTTGCATGAGTAGAACTTTAAGCTTTACTAGGTACTAACTGACTCTCGGAAAGAAAATCACAACTTCACTCAATTACTGTTTTTTCTAAATGTAAACTCTAATATCCACTGACATTGTGTGAGAGGTATACTAGCTAGAACTGTGGGATATACCTTGCCCTTGTGAATAGTAGAAAGTTTGAGGTAGACTCGTGTGCCTTTGTCCCATGTCAGTGTGATACCACTGTCCGTAGTGATGATTACAAAGTTGCCGATCTCCTGTTTGTGGAAGGGAGAGGTTGACTCTACATACACAGGTTTGCCTCGTATCAGCTGGATCCTGAAGAAGTTCAGGCTCCCTGCAAAATAGTAAACAGTGGTCGCATGCAACATCAAATATAGCTATTTCCCTTTTAACTAGTAAACAGATTCAAATATTGGATTTTCATACTGATATGTAATTTAATCACTAAATAGTGCTTCAGAAGTATTTAAATTTTTAAGTTATTTGTTTTGTTTGCTGACATTACTAATTTATACCCATACTCATTGACAGTAAATGATATTGCTTTTACAAGAAAATAAAGTTATTTTAATTTTCATTTTGTGCGTTTCCCTAACACACTATATATTGCTTCTGTCTTTTTAAAACACCCTTTTTATCGCTTCGTTAAAAGAAAACAATCTGCAGGGGTCACTTATATGCCATACATATTTTCTATCAGTACATGATTAATCTTCTATCTTTTGCATTAAAATGAAAATTGCCACATTTCATTTATTATGAAAAATGATGTACTCACCTGGCACTCCCACTTCGAAAGTGATAGATTTGGTACATGTGACACCGCTAGTTCCACAAGGGATGTTTTCCGTGGTGATCTGGAACTGGTTGGGGTTATCCGGGGTTGCTTTGGCAAGAACGTAGTCACAGTTACCCTGGAATTCGTAGGTCTTGCCATCGAAGGTGTGATAGTGGGAATCACCATAGGCACTGCAGACGGCAGGACAGTCCTTGTTTTCACATACCCACTTGGTGCTGGTACACACACTGCAAGGAGGCAACAAGCAACTCTCAAACAGACATATTGCTGGGTGTTCAGGGCAGATAATGGATGCTATGTTTAAAGTAGATTATAATTATAATGAGGTACAAATAGAGATTAGAGAGATATATATTTCTGAGGAATAAGTTCAAGGGACATATCAGGTTATGCTACCTGGAATTCATTGGGAGTGTGTAAAACAAGCATTTGTTTAAATGTGGATACACTACTCCCCCTCCCTTGGTTTTGTCATTGAAAAGGTGAAAAAAATCTCTAAAATATCAAATGACCTGTCAGAGAAAAATTGTAAGCTTTTCCAGAGACCAAAATGACTTTCAAAGACTGGATACACTTTTCACTAAGTATAGTGGAGGCATCATCATGGGGAGTTATTAAATAGAAAATTAAGGGAAGATAACTCTCATTGCCATGATCAAGAAAAGTGTGAATGTACAAACCACTGGTTACAGTCTGTTATCATGGTCTCTCCCTCAAGATATGCCTTGCCGCCATGGTGACATGGACACTGGCCAGCCAGGACACAGTTGTCGCCCTCGCGCACATATCCTGGTTTACAGCGACAGCCTGGCTGACAATCGGATGAAGTGGGACAGCTGGGTGGCGTGGCCATGTTCTGACAAGTCACAGGGCAGTCAGAAGTACAGTTGGTGTATTCTTCACTGTCCGGGCAAGGGGACGAGATGGTGGCCACAGCGACATTGGGGGACGGTATCTGGCAATCCCAGCGTGCACTGCGACATGTACTACAATGAGAAAATGTTGAAATATCAGATATTGACCTGTAACTCATAATTGTTCGGATATCGTAAAGAGGATACAAAGTAACAAAGACTGATTTTATAGGACATCAACATTTTACATGTAAGTAGTATCAAACCTAACCGAGTGATCTCCTGTATTAATGAATGTCTTATGTAACCCTTGGCCATCCATGGAATATATGTTACTACATAATGCTATATACCGACTTTAAGGACTTTTTGCCTTATGCTACAAGTCATATGATGCCTTGTTGCTGTTCCATAGGGAGGCACATTTTTGTGACACACAACACCCACAATTAATTTTGTCTTGGGGCCCACTATTACTTACTCAGTTTTAAATGCCTATCCAAATATATTTTTTGGCTGCGGTTATACAACGGTCTGAAACATAGTCTCTATGTAACCTATAATGTAAATTGTTTGAAAATGTACCTACCCTAATTAAGTAAGATCTAAAGAAAGAAACACAACAAATTTGTTTGCCATACCAGATTTTATCCTGCATCATGACAGCTTTGCCTGGCTCCAACTGGCGGTCACCAAACACACAAGGACACTGGTCAATGGTCACACACTCGCCGTTGTCATTGAGAGATTCACCAGCTGGACAGCCACACCCCTCTGCACATTCCTGGGACTGCTCGCAGTCTGGATACTTCCCGAGAACATTACAGGTACGCTTACACTCGTTAGGGCACACCTGGTACTCTTGACCTCCAGTACATGGCAGAGCTAAAAAAAAAGGCAGTAAAAAGGGAGAGGTTATAGAGATGTCAGCATCATTTTGATCCTTGTTAAAATCATATTTCAGCCCCCTTACCAACTGTTTTTTGTTGTACTTTCCCCCCAATATGATAAAATAATCTAAATTTAATAGAAAAAAAAGAAAATAACAGAAACATGAACTAACTTTTTACAAAGAAACTCAAAATATGAAAGTTCATTTACCAAAATTAATTGACGAGACTGGAAGCTTTTGGAGATACTATCCAATAGTTTTCTTAATTTATTACTGCATCACATAACAGTCTTACACCCAGCAATGTTGCCTATGGGGTGATGTCCCCTTACAATTCACCAAAGAACCGCACCCAGGGTGAAGTGAAGGACAAAAGTAAAATAACATAACGTTGCAGATTGTACAAAGTAAGTAAATGTCAGGTACAAGTGTGCAGGCATACTGTAGTATACCCATCGATTAGCTTTAATTGAGATCTAACACAGTAACATGTTACATCAAAAACTGTAAATAAGATTTGGAAACTTTTCACCAGAATTACAATACTTTAGTAAATCATTTCTGAAAAAATATTCCTATGCTTTTTACAAACAAAACAAAAAAAAACACAAGATGAAATAAACAAAATAAATCAACAATGCCATAGAATGTTTTAGATATACTCTCTTATCATGGGTGGTTTGACAGACTGAAGGATACCTACCACACTCGGAGACGTTGAGACGCCATGGGATGGAGACCCCTGAGGAGGCACATCGCTGAGCGTAGCTTGCCAAGATGGGACAAAGACAATCTTTGATGTTGTCAAGGCATTGGCACATGTCGAAGTTACAGTCTTGTAGATCCACTGTGTAGTCCACAACACTGTGGCATGCTGGAGAGGAAAACATACAAACATTGAATCTCAAATCAAATCAGTAGACATGAGTATCAAAGAAGGGGGGGGGGGGGGGGGGGGGGAGTTTGTGGGCAGACCCACTAGACCAGCACATCAGTTTTCCTTCTTGCTTAATGCACAAGTGGTTGATACCAATGATCAAAATAAATTGAAAAAAGTTATTATCTATGAAATTGTACTAACGTTTGAAGATGTCACCAGACAGATAGGAACAGTACTGGTCTGCTTTGGCCTTGTTCTGGGCATTGTCTTCACAGGCATTTACGACCTCCCCTACGTCTTTACAGGTGGGGTTCACCTTCCATCGGTTCCCAAAGTTTGTTTCCGAAGTCTCAATGTCACCCTCTCTTGTCAGGAAGTCGTTGGACTGCTTGAAATCATAAGTGCCGCACAGGCCCTGGGTTTTGTTGACAAAGGTGGGAGGCACAGTGATATAGGCACGTGTTCTCCCGTCCCAGAGTATACTCACACCATTGTCCAGGATAGCCTATAAATTAACAATTTTCACACCTTTGAAAATTTGTATTTAAAAATTTTGAGCTGAAAAGACCAAAAAAAAATCTACTTCTTTCCTTTTGCAGTGAATTTTCCACTCAACATACTAGTGCCTGAAAATAGATCTACAAGCCAGCAGAACTAGTGATGTATACCTTGATATAAATTGTTCAACTGTGACAGTCCTATTGTTAACAGTTGTAATAGAAACGCACAGAGTTATGAATGACAAATAGTTTTGATACATAATACTTTAGAATGGAAACAAACAAAAAATGGAATCATAAAATATTCCTGCTTTCTTTTCACATAACCTTTCATCTGTGACAATACAACAGAGGTGGTATACAGATTATTGGAAGAAGAAGAACTTTTCATCAAGACTCAGTACATAACACAGACATGGAATTATTGCTTAAATATCCATACCTTTATAAACAGGGAGTTGACTGTATCTACAACAATGCCAGTTCCTCGGTAGGGCAGATTAGGAACGGAGACCGAGTCTACAGTGAGTGCATGCTGGGAACCCATCTTGATCGTGTGACCTTGGTACTCGATCGTGACTGACTTGGTACAAGAAGCAGTCCCGTGTCCGCAGTGGATGTTTTCTGCCAGCAGGTTGAAGTTTGGTGACACCTTCACCAGGTAGTAAGAACATTCACCCATGAAATTGTAGCGCTTGCCATCAAACGTCATGTAGTGAGGGTCGCCAGTAGCCGAACACGTTGCTTTACATTTCCTTTGGGTACAGTCCCAGGCTGCATCTTTACATGTGCTGAAAGCAAAATTTGTTCCAGTATATGTTTCTCTTATTCTCAAATCTTTCATGAGATAGATATTTGTCAAGAGGATATTCTACATGTTTTAGATATTTTACACATATCTGTACTGAAGATTTTCTATCGTAATTCGTCAATTTCGGTTTGTTCTTTTAGTTGACATGTGGATTCGTCAATGAGGCAGATAAGATTTATCTTTTATTCTATTCACATTAAAAAAATTGTTTGTAGAATAATTAGTTCAGCTTTTTTAGAAAAGAGAAAAAAGTAAATGAATACTAAATCCAATTTAGTTTTGTCAATGTTTCAAATTTATTAAAATAGAACTGAAATCTTGTGACCTCACTGACCATTCCTGTGTCAGTACACATACGTACCAGGTGTTGCAATCTTTCTTGATAGTATCCCCTGGTTGATGGAGGTGCTCTCCATGTTTACAAGGACACTGAGCAGGAGTCACACAGGTGTCCCCAGATACAACCATACCATCCGGACAGAAACATCCGTCAATACATGCAGTGTCGGAGCAGGTTGTGCTGGAGCCACATGTTCTTGCGCATTGACTTCCGCACTCCTTATGAATAAAATTTCCTGGGCACTGGACAGCTAGTGAAATAGTAAAATTGAAATACATATACATTACATCTTAAGTGTAAATTTAAAGATAGGAATTCGAACAGCTACTTAATAATTAAAATACGGTACACAGGGAAGCTTTCACTCAGTCAAACGTTTACATTTCACCAGTAAAATCCAGATTTTCTCAAAGTAATTTCGCTCTAAAGGTATCGTAAATATACGCATATTGTGCACATCCGTGTATAATGCCCATGTTATAATTATTTTTTGGATTTTTTTGGCGTTAATTGATATGCATAGTAGTACTACTAATATTATTAGTACTTTGTGTAAAAAAATTGCTTTCATAATTTATTCGTCCTTGTTACAGATCTAGAGGGCGAGTAAGGCATTGGTCAACATTACAGCATGTGAACATTTAAATGGTTATTCTTTCAAGTTAACCATGTCCCTCATCCAAAACTTAAAAAGAACGCTGATAGTCATGTTTTCTACGAATACATAGAAGTCTACATACGACATAGCTGATTTGTTCTCCAGGAGAGTTTCACGTTGGCCTCCATACAGGCACGGCTGTAGGCTTCGAAGCTGTTACAGGTACAGGTCTGGATAGAATTCTTACAGCAATCACTCTTACATGCCTCCAGGTAGGGCTGGGGGTCCACAGTCTGTAAACCAACATAACATTACATCAAACTCCCTTCAATAGGTTAACTCACCTCCTCTGCTACGAACTGCTTTGTAGTTTAATTTTAAATAGTTATTTTGAAAAAGACAAACCTATTTGCTCGACATTTGCTCATTTTAACAGAAATCAAAATAGAAAATTGTGACCAACAGTTTTCAGAGCTTTCAATAGACTTTTGAGAGTATGTTTTGACTCACAAAAAAATGAGCTTTTATCCCTGTGTTTTAAAGAACAGATCAATTTGATATATATTTTGACACTCAAAAATTCAGGGAACATTTTTATTTGACTTCTGAAATTACTTAATGTCAAGGGTCAACTGAAGCTTTGGTTTAATCAACCAACTCCTTATGTCACCAAAAAGCACTATTTGACAATTGCGAGACCACGTCAGCATCACCTACCGAATGGCACGACTGAAAGGCGGATCCCATGATTGTGGAGCAGGTGGATTGAGCTTGTGTGGCAGCAGCGGAACTGCATGTCTGTTGTGGTACATCAGGACAGGTGCCTGTGATAAACAATAACACAGGGATATGTCACATGCTATTTAATTAAAGATGTATTATAAGTCGGCATTACAGTAAATTTTATATAATGTAGGAATATAACAGGTGCCTGTGATAAACAGTAACACAGGGATATGTCACACACTATTTAACTAAAGATATATTATAAGTGGGCATTACAGTACATTTATATATAACATAGGAATAAACAGGTGCCTGTGACAAACACAGGGATATGTCATATGTTATACAACTTCAGATGTTTAAGAAGGCATTACAGTACATTTTATATAATGTTGGAATATAACAGGTGCCTGTGATAAACACAGGGATATTATTATGTCACATATTATATATATATATATAACTGAAGATGTATTATAAGTCAACATACCTGACCCAAGTGTAGATCTTTTCCATGTTGTAGCAAAACTGGCAGCAGAGGAGACAACTTTTCCAGAATCTGTCAGGAAGTCGTTGGACTGGTCCCCATCATATTTACCACAAAGTCCACATGTATTACCGCGCTGATCTGACGTAACTGCAAGGAACACAGACTCCCGTCCATCCCACCGTAACATGTATCCTAGAGTGCTTCTGACGATGATGTACGCGCCAAGCTTTTCGAAAACATGTCCGTCTCTAGTCGATGGCAATGTCATCAATGATCCATCCCAATGAACCGCTGGCCCTGTGGCTTCCCTCTTAAGTGAAACTTTCACGTTTCCGAAATAAATGTCAACCTGTCTTGAACATGGTGCTCCGGGCGAACACGCCTGATCATTTATAACGTGGATGTTGTACGTGTTGGCTGCACAGTCCTTCAGCAAAACATATTCACATTGACCCTGGTAGGAATACACCTTGCGGTCAAATGTCCGATAGTGGTCCTGTCCCCAGGCTACACATGTTGCATCATAGGATGCAGAATGACTGGGAGGGGCTCCTGTGGGTGGCAGACCTGTGGGGAGGTTAACCTCTGAAGGGGACCCACTGCCAACTGTAACAGATACAAGGATTTTACAACCAGTGCTAACCTGTGTTCATGTTCAATTGTTGCATTTATACATGACAAGTGTTCAAAAATTTTGTTTACTTTTGCAAATTCATTATATTTAAAACAAAATATAATACAATGAATATAAAATCTGATCTATATGTATATATATATATATAAAGGATTTGAATGATAAACTAAAAAGACCCATTATATTTCACAAGTGAAGTGAATATTTTGACATTTAGCATGTATACGTAAAAAAAAAAAAGTATTCAATCTACATTGTACAAGAGAAATTTGACTGTTATTCATCACAAAACTAACAACATCCTGTTTGTAATATCTTTTCTTTTTAACAACATGGTGTTCTGTGACAAGATAGCCCATCTCTTTTCAAAAATTGATGATACATAAAATGTTTCATGACATTACAAGAAATACTGTTAAAACCCCCCCAGAAATTACCTATTTCACAGTGGAGTCCCTTCCATCCCTGAGAACAGGCACAGGTGTCCGGCATGACACAGGAACCACCATTTTGACACCCTTTGGGACAAACAGCTGCGGGGAAAAAAAGATTGTACAATTAGTAGTTTTATAATAATTTAAATATTTTATGCCAACAATTTAATACACATAAAAGACACTTCACAGTGTAATTTATATATCAATCATACATCATAGGTAACTTTTTAATAAATCCCCATCTAAATATTAATGATTCAAGTTAAATGTCATGGCATACAGCTGCAGTCACATACTTGCATTTTTGCCAACTCTATTTTGGAACGAGTCTCTAGATTTTTGGCTGTAAAATTAGCATTTTCAAAATTATTTTGCTAAACTTTTTTATTTCCAAATGTCTGATGATTTCAACTGTATATAAGAACAACTCAAAGCAAGGGTGCCATTTAAAAGGGATGTTTCCCCCCTCGGCTGTATATAGACACAGGTCTGTAATGTATGTCTTTTATTTAGAACACATGTACATACATTGTACAGTATGTACTCCCCAATGGAAATTGCAGAGAGTTGGCAAGTATATTATAAATATGTCAAGGGGATGTTATTTTTATAAAGAATACAGAACAAGAACCATATGTCTTTAGAACAGTGTTAACTATGACCACTATATTTAAAGGATCTATTTGTTAAAAATATTATTGTTTTCAGATGAAAAATGACATTTTATCACACAAATTCCGCATACACTGCACAGCCTTCTATATATATATTACAAATCATAAGTAATAAGTACAATGAAGTCTGACAGTATAAATAGCATACTTGCCAACTTTCCTATTCACATGCAGAGGGAGACTCACATTTTCAACCAGTAAATTTGCTAAATTATTCAAAATATATGTCACCTAAAGGGTTATTTTGTCTCTAGGGGGTTTATATACACCTGTTACTTATGTTTTTGATTTTGATTTTGAGCATGCATGCAGAATCTCCCAAATAGAAATTTCAAATGTTGGCAAATACATTGTATATATGATACATATATATAGTCACTCACTATCATCAAGAATACTGTAAGGAAATGCTTCATGTTTCCATCTTCATTTTTTACATTATAGATGCCATAATAATGATATGCACTTAAATTTCATTTAAGGCATAGACATATCATGATCACAACTACCCGTGTAAGCATATGGACCTAACCACATGCGCTTGTATATGGTAGTTAATACCTAAGCTAAAATCCACTACTTACACAAGTGCCTGTGACCTAACAATGCTGATCATGAGCAGTTAACACGAGTCAATATCACCTGTTTTGAACAGTGTAAAATATGTAAAATCATACAAATGCTTTGCTTTTCACCTGAAGTCAGCCTTGTTGGCTATGTGCTTTATATTAATAAATGTGATATGTGGAAATCGACGTGATAATTGACATTGTGTTAAGGCAAAAAATGTACACAAAATATCATGATCACTGTTCAGGCAAAATCAACAATATTTTCAACAAACTGTTTCAATTAATTATTACACCTTAATCTTCATCTTACATCTTAATACCCGATAATCAAACCGCTTCCACCATTCTATATTTCGAGGGGAAATGTAGATTTTAAGAAATGGCTATATTTTTTTCTACACCGATACGGCATAACAGTTACTTCAGTATCCATTGTGTCACGTGCACCGTGTCAGATAAAAGGGTTACTTGAACTTATTTCCTTAGTTTCCGACCAGCTAATTGCGTTACAGGTGAAAGTACTACAGCAAACATAAATCCAATAAATGTCTTATTATATCAACTGTGTTAGGCCTACTTCGATGCTACAAATGATGAATAAGATTCCAATGTCGTGTCAGTCTCATCAGTCGAATTTCGCGCCATCTGTGATGATTTGATTTACTTCCGGTAAGACAACTCTTCTTCACTTCATATCGCATTTTTGCCCGAGTGTAAATAGCGTCCTGTTATATTTTAATTATCTAAGAAATATACTGATAATGGGGTAATAATTATGATATAAATAAATGTAGTTCTGAGTTTAATCTTAAACCGGTATTGAGTTTCTAGATCTGTAATCTTAACTTGTTAATCCGTGATCCGTTTTGATAGTGGTTGCCGAAGTATCACGTGATCTTTTACTTTCGTTTTACCTATATTTATGAGAATAAGTATGTACATTAACTTATAATATCATAATACAATCACGGAGTCGCTACCTAAGTCCACGATACAATTAAGTGGGTTTTCTGTCCCCTTTTTCATGCATTTTAATAATGAAAAAAAAAGGTTAATTATCTTAGTATCAGCTTCTAACACTATATATTTCATAGGGGATATTAAACGTTGAACTGTTTTGTTCTTTATCTTTCCAAAACTTCATGCACGTGGTCCAGCTACAATTCCAAAATTTATTTGTCATATTTCGAAAACCTCTAAACGGATAATTATGAATTTGCCTCAATTGCGTTACAATTGCCTTCATAAAAAGAAAGAAAGAAAAGTGTCAAAATGCATGAAATATGGTTAAAAATAAGTTTAATTTGGCCCGACAATGTATACTGCGCGTTCCGTAAGATAACATCAATTAAACATGCAGTTGTACAGTGCATGCAGCAGTTAACAAAAGTCTAAATCTGACCCAAATCCGACAACAAATATTGACATGAGTTGAATCGAGTGACGATTTTTTCCCCTGAACATTCTGTGCGAAACCTATACCACGCGTAAGGTTCGGAGATTACGGCTGAGAATGAATCCCGAGCGCGTTTTCATGAAACCATTTTCATACCCAAGCATATACATGTACTCTCTTAAATCATATGTGCCATATGGTAAACAAGTAAAGTTTAAACATTATAAAACAGTACTGTGTTTTAATAAAGTCCCTCCAAAATTCGTTGACAAAATTTGAATTAAATTATGTCCCCAAAGTGGTTGTAAAGTAGGAAAAGTACAAAGCTGCAGCAATATCAAGCATAGAGGGGGACCTTTGGCGTACACTCATAAATGTGTCAATAAATCAGACGCTACGATAGCCACGTTGGACGACTGATTAGAATTTGTATAAGTATCCGGCCAGTATAGTCGAACGGGAAACATTTGACATAAGAAGAAGAAGAAACACAGCAAACACATTAATTAAGATTATAAGAATTAAAGACGCACAGTCAAAATATAAGAGACCCCTGCGTTTGCGGAACATAATTTACAAGAACGAGACGTATAAATCATAGAAAGATCTTCTTATAGGTAAGAGTTTATAAGAATGGTTCGTTCCAAATTACGACTTATCATAAAGTGCAAATTGTCGAGAAAACTGTGGTTAAAATTGCAGTCTGACGATTATGTTGCAAGGGGATAACTCATACGACATTTATACCTCGTACAGTGACAACTGTCTAATTTGTCCGTTTACTTAATATTTTAATCCCATTTGTAATTAAAACTAATAGCATATATGCATTATGACACCCTATCCGATCAATATGTTTTTTCCCAAAGGGAACGTGTCGGCTCAGTCCAGTAGATTGAGAAAGTTAATTACAGTTTTCATCTGTAGCAAAAAAATATAAATTTGTTAAAACCTATCATCAATGTTGCCGTGATTAATTTGTCAAAACACGTCCCCCGCCCTACCGTTGCTTTGTTACTTACGTTCACAGATCGGCAGGGTGGGTTTTTCCCCGGGGGCAAGACTTTCCCCGGTTAGGGGGAAGTATTCCCCTGATGAAGAATCACACTCCCGAACTATGATGTTGTCGTTGGTTTCGAATTTATAACCATCGTCACAGCGAGCTGTGCACGTGCTGTGGAGATAAAAAAAACAAACAAACATCACTTTTACCCCGTTTTTTACCTCTCTTTTATCAAAATATATTTTCGACGACAGAGTTTCAGATAATTTCAAGAATTTCATATCCTCGAGACTGCTTGCATGTTTTCTGTATTTAAACAATATTTTTTTAAGCAAATAAATATGTTAACTATTTAAGATGTAAACAGTTGTGAACTGATTCGCTATTGTATTAGAAGTTTTTCTTTTATAAATAGCCGAACAAAATAATAACTAATTTAGACTTGTGTGATTTCCTACAAGTATAAACGAATTAGACGTTCTGTACTCCGTATTGACGAAGTTGTGCCACTCACTAGAAGGGGATATTGTCGCCACAGTCGATGTTACCATTGGTTGGGGCCTGGATCGGCTTACAACTTCCGGCGCCTGGAAAAGAAGCATTTCCCATGTATAAAAAATCAATAAAATATTTTATTTTTCAAATACAGTTTAGTCTAAATGCTGAAAGAGAGCGCGTTAATGAGAGAAATGTTTCAATCCGTTTTTAACGACATCTGAAACCTACGGATTCTAAATCTGTACATATCAGACAGGTACTAACAAAGTGGGGTACTATCAAAGCTAAGTGGAAAACTCAACGAGCACGGAGCCCTGACTAGATTTTCCAAATAACTATTGTGTATTTATTAGAGTCAGTCTCATTTACCAGAGCTCTGCACTCGGAAGTGAATTTAAACAAACTGGTCGACGATAATGACGTCATGTAACCACGAACGAGTTCATTTATGTAGCATCAACGCTGGAGAGGTCATCAGGGTCAATAAATGGTCGACAAAAACAAATGTGATATAACAATGTCATCAAATAAACGTAAGGTAAAAGACAAACGTCATCCTGAATGTAAGAATTAGTGGCTATGGTGAATCACATTTTTTTTTTTATAAAAAGGGAGACAAACAGTTTTCAGAGAGTTTAAGACTGTAGAAACAGTTATTTTTTTGAAAAGAGATTTAAAACATGTAACGTTATTATAGAAATTGTTTAGAGTTGTTCGACACGACCCAGTAACAAGACCGAAAAAAAGAAGATCAACAAATTAAATTTTCAGTATTCACGTCCACGAGGGACCCATATTGGTCGCCTCAAACGATCATACCGCGGGTATAGCGGTCTAATTAATTCCAATACGCTGTACTGGGTCTAGTATGCTTTTATGTACTTTTAAGATGGCGAAAATAAGCATATTTTGTATTATGCGTGTATGTGTTTCTTGACGACGAACTTTGTATGTTTGGTCGTCTATAAAATAGCCCTGCAATGAGCTCGCGCATTTTTAAGTGAACTTGGTTCGGGGTTACTTCCTGATATTAAGGTTTAAATCTTTTCTTGGATTTTATTTTTGTTAATGTTACGAACTTTCATTCCATAGGCTTAGCAGTGATTCATTCACAAAAACCTGTTACTTGGTGTTTCCAGATAGGTCTCTGGCTTCACACGGTAAACGCTACATGGCAAAGGCTTAATCCAAGTGCGACTTTAACTTTTTTTTTGTGAATAATCATACCGTTCACGTCACTCTTTATATTTTGGCATTGAAGCTTTTCGTCGGATATAAAGTATAGAGATTAAACCAGGGACGTGCACTTTGGCAAGTATCCCAGTTCTATCTGTCACACTGAACCCCAAGGGGGGCTAGTGAGAGTTGATAGCGGGGGTTATTCAAAGGCATACCTGGGGCTTATCACGACATCCAAGGTAGGTGAAAATGAAAAATGATTCCGGGTTTAAATCGGTCTTTTATACAACTAATTTTACCGAAGATAGCCAATAGCATCAGGTGTGTTTGGCTCGCACAAGCCGTGGTATGTCAATAGAGCCGACGTGGGTGTGTACACAAAGAGCAAGATAGGTAAAGGTCTACACAGGTACTCCACAACGATTTCATCTGAATTAATCTTTCAATGTTAGAATATATCCCAGTGCATTCGTCTTTCACAAATACTAAAAATTAATTGATTGGTTTTTGAGCTGTACATGACGATAAGCTGTATAAATGTCTAGAGGTATATATGTGATTGTACAGTAAGTGATACAGTGTTGGTATTAAGGTGACATATCGGCTGAGAATACTCTTTATAGTATAATAAAGGTATCAAAGTTGTATTTGGTTCAATTTTATCTTGGGGTTTTTTCGTTTCTTTGTTCATATTGTACTTACTCCTATAAAACTACTACATTTTTCATACAGCAAAATAATGTTAGTAAATATTGATCCTAAATTGACAAAAAAAAAGACAAATATTGATCCCAGCGACATATCATTTCCAAGAATGACGCCATACATCTAAATCCTATAAACCTACAAGCCTGCCGTCCTTGTAATTTAATCGGTGCACAGAATTATAGAGAAACGAAATGAAAAATATGCCTTTTGTCGATTTTTATGTTAATTTGAACAAAAAAAGGAGATTAAAAATGCTATAGTGGTGATTTTCAGTATTTTTAACCATAAAAAAATGCCATGCCTTCTTTGTTAACATGAATGTATACTGTTTATAAAATATACGGACTAGATGGACTGTCAAATTTTTCTATAAAGCTCACTAGAAGCTCGCTAAAATGAAAACGAGGATCTTAAGAATTGCATTGCGATTTCGAACGAATCGAGAAATCATATAAGATCTCAGGGGCGGGTCCAGGTGAGGGCGTTATGGGCGTACACCCCCCCCCCCCCCCCCCCCCNCAATTATTTTATGTTTTTTAGCAAAAAAAAGGTCCAAAAAAGATTTGTTTCTTTACGCCCCTCTTTCAAATATCCTAGAAACGCCCCTGGATCTTGTTTATTAGATGATCTTAAAATTTATCGAAACTTGCATAAAATAACACGACACTTCAACCGGTCACTTTACCTGACAACAGGCTCACCGATACTTGTCTATTTCCCCTATAAGTGCTACCTTTACACAGGAGAATTAATTAAGTCCATAGGAGCCAATGATGCGGTATTCTAGAATTTTATTTAAACGCGGGTTTTCTCCGGGTACTCCGGTTTCCTCCCACTTAACTACCCCCTCCCCCACACGCTACCATCGTTGTAATGGCCTGCTTCATAAAGCTAAATAAAGTTTATATGTTTATAACTATACTAGTATCGTATTCCAGAATGTCTTCAGATGCACCAGGAAACAGGGACATTTTTACCACTTTTGGTTCTAGTTTATTTCAGATAGATATTTTTCAACGTATCGATAATATTTAAACAATATTTATTCGTTTAGTTAGAAATAAATCTAAAGATAATAGAAATTGTTTAAGGGGATGATAAGTAAATGTTATTATATTCATAAATGTCTGATTATCATCCGGAAAGGCTTATTTAAAATAAATGTTTTCGTATAGAATACCCCTAATTTCACTTCAAAGTATCGCTCTCGTTCAGCTTTAATCGGGAAATAGCGTACAGCTCGCATAGAAAACCATTATTACAACTATTGTCGAGGAGAACACACACTAAAGCTTGTGGAACTACGTACCTGCGCCGGGTCCGAATGGGTCTGAGAAAGGGTCGAAAGCTGTAAGTACACCAATAAACATTCAATAACGATACATTTTGTATTCAATATTTTTAATATGTATGTTAATATCATGTCAAGATATCACAATGTCCTCTATTTTCTCAAATAATGCTTATTTTATATTACTGGTTTAATAACATCATCGGTGAACATTACTTTATAACGTATTGACGATACGTGGGTAAATAAACACATATTGATGGCGTAAAAGCTCAGTCATAAATAACGCAACGACCAGATTCGATTTGCAGATTAGAAACAATTGAATAATGGCATACTGTAACGATTATCGTTATTTGGCAAATGTATAACCGATGACAAAATCACTAGCTATCACTTCTTGGAAAACATATCTATAAGCGTACCTTGTCGTTTGGATCTCTTGGCTCTGAAACAGAAAAACAAATAAAATCATATTTAAAATGTATTGAAAATGAGTGCTTTGTTCTATGTTAATATCTTTCTGCTCTCTTTGGCGATCCTAAGCTCTGATTGTATACCAAACATTAGTTACTATTCACACAATTATACTCTTATACTTCTATAGCCGGTAATACACCATCAACATGCATAATCACTGTGTCGAGGATACATATTTATATGTGAGGAAACTAAAGTGAGAGAGAAACAGGTCAACTAATTAGGACCAAATCTAAAATCTAAAGTCAATACGCGGAGTCAACAACAGGGAGTGATTTGGTTTTATTTTATTTAACGTCCTATTAACAGAAATGACGTCATATGCCAAATTGCAAACCGGAGGCGGAATGGCTCCTGAACCACATGTGGTACACAGCTGTCATGTCGGTCAAATTCGGAAAAACGTGTACACATTTTCCTTTTCAAACTTCCAAGGGAGCATATCATTGTTGGCTATTTGATGACGTCAGAAACTGCGCAGAAATCGTTAAAGAACTACCTCGGATGACAAAGACCACTTTCAAAAAAACTGAGAACGCAGATATCGATATCGTAAATTACAGAACCCTGCCCTGGAATCATGAAACAATCATAGACTTCAAATTTTCCTTAGCAAGTTACGAATGACGTCACTTTTCATGGCTAATATTTGTCAAAACTTAAGAAACATTTTTACTTGAGATCATTGAATGACACTGGGGCCTTGTATTGCATAGTCTGAAAACAAGCTGTATAAATAGTGAGATTCACTAGGTATGTAACAAATATGCTACAAGTTGTTTATACAAACTATTAGAAATAACGGGAAAAGTGCAGTAACATTGGATCACGTTTCATATTCTGAAAGACACTGTACCTCATATCAGCATGATGGTGAAAACGTACCCGTCATCCACCCCTTTACCGAAATAGACGATCTGAAACTATGTCACCCTATCACCCACGCTTATCCAATAAAAAGAACAGCGCCCGGTGACCTCAACTGTTTAATTTATGATGATATTGTGTGAATAACGTCTACAAGTTCAATAGCATTCATAGCACTATAATTTGTTTGTTTAGGATTAACGTTAACGCAACAGCTGATGTCACGTGAAGTCGGGTGCTTCGGGGGACACACCAACGGAAAGAAAGAGTAGGGAAGTGAAAAAAGGCTACAGTTTAATTTCTTAATAATATACGGTAGAGTTATGACTTTTTTATTTTCATCAACAATCTTTTATTCCTAACTGACGTTTTGTAATAATATTCAACCAAGTAATTGTTTGTAAAATGGATCAAAATTTTGAAAATGTGAGATAACATGACAAACAAAAACTAATATAACAGGTTTACAAGTGCTTCAGAATTTCTCTTGAATTTAATATTCCGATAACGATTACAGCTACATTTAAACGCAACAAATCATTTTGCAATCAATTTGAACATATAAAATAGGTTTCAGCAAAAACTTTTCGACAAGCTACCCGACCTTTGAAAAGCTTATTTTGTTTACAATCATTTGAATAAATAAATATTGAAACGCAAACAAACCATTTTAATTTTTCAGGTAAACAAATTACTACTGTCTTGCAAGAAACGGCCTTACATCGGTTGAGTAATATCGGTCACTGTTTTACACGTAAACCAACATTATCTAAAGGTACAGCAAGCCCCCTAAAACAGGGTACAGTTCCCAACTTTCATCTTGATTTGTGAGAAAGAAGAAATAAAGCCACACATGACGTAGGTACATACATGAACTTCAGATCATGTCATTTCGTAGGAATCAATAAGTTCGCGAAAGAGGTTGACATGTTACAAGTCCGATGATGCCGTAATGCCGCATTATTGACAAAGGTATTTCCGATACATCTGAATTTCGATATTCCACAGGGTTCTTTAAATATGACTTATCAGGGGGCTGAAATAATGGTGACCATACCGTTATTTATGGTTTTTGTTAGAACCTTACAGAAATCCAGCACTGTCTTACAAACCAAACCCAAATACGCTTACAAATAACTGAATACTGTGCTAATAAGTAACTTACAACTTAACTCGTACTGCCTTACAAATGAACGGCTACTGCGCTTACAAATAAATTAATACTGCGCTTATAAATAAACCAATACTGTTCTTACAAATAAACAAAAATTGTGCTTACAAATAAAAGGCTACTCCGCTTACAAATAAACTAATACAGTGCTTACAAATAAACCAATACTGTGCTTACAAATAAACCTATACTGTGCTTATAAATAAACCTATTCTATGTTTACAAATAAACTAATGCTGCGCTTTCAAATACACTAATACAGTGGTTATACATTAACTAATACTGCGCTTACAAATAAACCAATACTGTGCTTACAAATAAACCAATACTGTGCTTACAAATACACTAATACTGTGGTTATACATACACTAATACTGTGCTTATAAATAAACCAATACTGTGCTTATAAATAAACCAATACTGTGCTTATAAATAAACTAATACTGTGGTTATACATAAAGTAATACTGCGCTTACAAATACAATGAATAATGTGCTAACAAATACACTGTAACTGAACACAGTGCTCAAATAAATGAAAACTGTGCTTACAAATAACCGAATGCTGTGCCTAAAAGTTATCCGACAGTGGGTGTATAGGTAAACAATTTCATTTTTCGGTTTGTACAGAAATAAGCTGAAACGAAACCAAAAAAGGCAATCTTACCTTGAGTCCACAAGAGATCCTGTGAGGACCAGTGTCAGACACACGGTCCCCAGAAGGGCACTGGGCGCCATCATAGGGTGCCCCTAAAACAACTACCTATGAGAAAATGTCACCTCTTCAAAAATGTTTCACACGAAATAGTTGTCACGTCTTCGGGGATAAAACCTGGTCCTGTGTTCCCTTTGGAAAAGTAGCTCTGGGTTGGGGATATTTATTGAATGTTAGTTTGTTCACGTGACCAAATATTTCAAACCCGATTGGTTAAAATGACATTCGATTTCTATCGCATTGATTCGGGATTGTAAGGTTTGAGATAACAGTAAATAAAGTTTTGTTGGTTGTGTGTCTCTGATACGGATATAGAACTTAAATGTCGTGACTTTAAATTTACCTTTAGAACTGATTTGATAAATGTTTCAAGCTGTAGACTTCATAAGTTTCGTTTACATTCATTATTTCTAAAGCTAATGGATTAAAGTATAGTTAATTCAGAAATCTGTCAAAGTTTTTAAATATGTATCAAATGGATTAAATTAAAAGATATCTTTTAAATAAGAGAACATATTCATATGTCTATCAGAGATAACGATTTTACAGAAAATAAAGCGTGCTTACTCGATACTCGGGCAGCAAGGACATCCGGTGCATATTTCACAACACGTACTTCCAGTAGCGTAATCAAACCCACCGTATGGTGTTTTTGTCTATATATTTACTTCTCATTTCATACAAATGAATTATTATATAATATACAAATGAACACAAATCAAATTGTACGTTCAGAAAACATGTTTACATAATAAATAGAGACAACAACGAGAACTGAATGATATGTCTTTTTATCATCAACAGCAATTAATTTGAGAATCGGAGCAAACTACAGAGACCTAGAACTGGTGGCGATTTGGTAAGTACGGCGATTTTACCTTTGTAGAAAATGAAGTACACACACATTTAATTTGGATTGTTTAGCGGCCCATCGAAAAATTCTGGTCATTTAGCGTCAAACAACAGTTTGTTTGATTTTGTTTAACGTCCTATTAACAGCTAAGGTCATTTAAGGAGGGCCTCCCCTGTGTGCAAGATGCATGCGTGTAGTATATGCGTGTGTGCTTTGGGAGGCTGCGATATGTTTTTGTTTGTCTCCTTGTGATAGCGCGGAACTGATGCCGACTTTATAGTGCTACCTCACTGAAACATACTGCCGAAGACAACCCAGCAGGACGCCCCACTCGGTCACATTATACTGACAACGGTCGACCCAGTCGTCCCACTCCTAATTTACTATTTTACTCAAAAACATGTAGAAAAGAAAACCGCTCTTCGTCCGTCCGTCCGTCCGTCCGTCCGTAAACAGTTATTGTTATCGCTTTCTCTCTCTCAGAAAGTACTGGAGTGATCGTTCTCAAACTTGATACGTAGGTTCCCCTTAGTCTGTAGTTGTGCATGTTTACTTTTGACAGTGATTATAAAAACAAGATGTCCACATAAAGAACGTAACAGATCTTTTTCATATTGCAATGATCGCTTTTATTTCTTTCACATTAAGTACTGTACTATTAAATATGTGAAACGACAACCTCACTTTGAATGTTGTCTTTTAAGCAGTATGAAGTTTAAATCAAACGTTAATACCTCAGGGTGCATTTATTTACATGACTCAATGAAACAGAAAAGATAAAGAAGAGAAATGATAGAACTGACATAGAACTAATGAAGATAGTACAATTGTGGGCGCAAATATCCCTGACCTCTGGGATATCTTGTTATTGGATTAGAATACAATAGCAAAAGACAAGGAAACTGTTTTTAAACTTAATTTATACATGTCAAAACTCAAAATCATCTGTCAAATCGTGTGACTGTCGTGTGGTCTGGCTATTCTACAGGTAACTGGTCACGGCAAAGAGGTATGGTTACCTTGCATGTCTTCCTGTGAATTTCCTTTTTTTATTCTTCGTAAATGTAAATTCAACATATGGAAAACATTCTGTTGTTATTAAACTAGTTGTCAATGTAAACGAAGTTAATGCCCTGGTGATCATTTAAGACTTTCCATTATTGACATAAGTTTACATATACTTTCTTAAACAGTAATTTCTGTGACTGATGGCTTATATCATTGAAAATGAAGAACTTTTTTCTCAAATGTCTGTCTTTTTCAGCAGCCCGTAGACTATATAGCTAGTGATCAACTTTGTTTGCATCATCCTGGCTCCAAACGTCGACCCAACAACTTTAAGTAAACTTGGTAAATATTTATTGCATGCAACTGCCAAAAGAAAAGCCCTTGTGGGTCAGTAAAAATCTATATGTTAAATGTGAACCATGAATTATCCTCCGCCATCTTGTATATATTGTACTTTATTATGAACCATGTGTGATGTAACTGTATAACCTATAGGCTGTATTGCATTTGGTAAATAAAAACTTGAAACTTGAAACTTGGTATTCATCTGATGCCCAAGCAACTTTGAAACATTTTGATCAATGGGTCTGATAATTTGTCAGAGTTCCAAAACAAGCAAATGTTTAAAAGTGGATTTTATTCCCTTTCGGAATCTGGACGATTTTAGAACCCTTCAACTCTACCTTTTCTCTTGTTTAGTGTATTTGTGTGAGGATGAATGTTTGTGGAAATTGATGTCCATGTATACTTGTCATATTATGTAGTCATGTGTTATATTTGAGGACAACAGCTCGTAGCCAATGACTGCTTGTAATCCTCGTAAAACAAAGAAAGAATTAAATTATTATTAATAAACAACATGAATCACATTGCTGTTTAATTTTGCTGTTATTTGTTTATTCGGCAATTTTGTCTTCAGGGACGCAGACACTTGTCACCGAATGCAGTATATCATTACACGTATATCTTAAACATTCGGATATCATAAGGGTTCACTGGGTGCAAAACAAATTTGACCACTGTTCCCTCTTACTTTTTGTACATCTAGATTGGTTATTTAGATAACAGGTGAGATAAAACACAGGCGGAAGTACGGTGTTGAGGTGTGAGATGTCCCGCTGTGGCTTTTGTAGGCTGTAGTCCAACCTGAAGTGCGTATTTCGAAAGAAATGCGGAATCATAGTTTATATGACGAAGCATGATTCTACAAGGCTTTCAAATAAATTCAGATTTCCTCCTTGTCAAAACCACACCTGAATAGAAAATTGTAAGTAACATAATTCGTTTATATTTTATTCTTTTATAAATTTATTTGCAGCTACCAGAGAATCATTCCTTTACAAATGTAAACATCAACAACCATTTTTGAATCAGACTGTTATGACACCTTGAAGTCTAGGACATGTATGGATACAGTACATCATGGGGGATTTATTACTAAACATAACAATGCCAAAAATCCCTGCAGGTAGGGCGTAAGAACTGTACCTGTTGCCCCCATTGTATGATCGTAAGAGGCGACTACAGTTGGGATCTTATCTTTTCTGTTGTTTCTAAACAACGTTCTTCTTCCTAATGTATCCCTTGGCAATGCCTCACTTTTGGCCTTTAGTTGAGCGTTCGCCCCTGTGAGGAACGCTTTGGTTTCTGTACCCTGGCCGAGACAACAAGAGTCTGTAAAAATGGTAGCTTCTACTCCTGCTTAACGCTCAGCAATTTAGGAGTGGAACGCCTGGTTCGCCCGTTGTCAGTATAACGTGACCGGATTGGGTGTCCTGCTTGGTGTCTTCGGCAGTATGTTTCAGTGAGGTACACTATAAAGTCGGCATCAGTTCCGCGCTATCACAAGGAGACAAACACGAACAGATAGGCAGCCTACCAAAACGCACACGCATCTTGCACACAGGGGAGGCCGTCCTTAAATGACCATAGCTGTTGATAGGATGTTTAACAATACTAAACCAAACCAAACCAAACCAAAAAATGTCAAACTACATTGTCCCCTAAGCGGAAGACGAGATAGAAAACTGCAATGCAGGGGCCATCCCTCAAGATTTTAAAACGCAGGGTGGTCCAACAGGTCTTTCCCCCTCGAACCTGCAGGGTTGTCTGTCGTTTTGTATAACGCACAGTACATAGTGCTTTATTTTGGAATTTTGTCATAAAGTTTTAACTTTCTTCTATTAATATTGTGTTTTGACTTTGTGCTGGCTGCTAACTGTAAAAATGGAAATTGTCACGAGGTGCACAATACAGTATTAAATTCTAAATTATATTTACATATATATAGAAATTTTCCAGAGTGCGACTAGTTTATTTAGTGAAAATCCGAAAATTTTAAGAGTTTTCCGGTCATTATTGGGGTTTTCATGCTGTATTTTCAGTTATTTTATGGCATCATCATTTATATATGCGTTGTTACTGCGGTTCATTTTGTCCTTGAGGTGTTGATGCAGTGGTATATTGTATAACTCTTCATGAAGTATCTTAATTACCTTTTGCCTTATTTAAAAAAAATATGGTGATATTCATTCCAGTGATAGTACTAACTTTGAAGTTTTCGCTGTGCTGTGTCGAACAAAGACTTCGAACGGATTATTTGATTTGACAATTGGTTTAGTTATCTTTTGTCTAACGTCCTATTAACAGCTGAGGTCATATAACGACGTGCGTATGTGTGTTGAAGGCAGTAAAAGTGGATCTGATGTACAGAAACTGCTTACCGTTCTTGAGTACATGATTTATACTTATAGTTGAAACACCGAAAATCAGCGATATGCCATATTTTAATAGCTATGTAAATAAAAAAGTGATATTCTATCACTCGGTCCTATCCAATTACTTTGGTATTATTCAAACAAGATGCCCATGGGCCTTCACGGTCACCGGAGTTCTGATATATTTATATAAATAGTTGATTTTTGTTTTTAAAACATGGACAGAAATATTATTCAAAGTCACAAAAAACAATAAAACCACCTTTTTCAATATCTAGCATATATATATATACAGATTGAAGACTGAAAAGTATTTGAAACTAGCACCTCTGATTCTAAACAAGGAAAATGAAGAAATTTTAGCACACTGACTCCTTTGGGTCCCACCCTACAGCTCTTAGGGGTAGGGCTGGCTCAAAATATCAAACTGTCAACTCAGGGTTATAATTCCAATCAAGTTATCAACATGTAATACCCAAAATATCATTTGCCAATATAAACCATAATACATTTTGCCCCCACCCCCTTCCCCAGGGGTAAAC